ATTTAAGATTTGCAAATAAATTGTTCCAAATAAAAGGCAACAGTGTTTACACATTACATTAAATTAGAGAGCCTTTAGCTGGCGCTGTTATCCAAAGCAACTTACAATAAGTGTAATAAATAAACCATCAAGATTCAAACAAAACAAAGGGCAACAAGAAAAGTGCTGACATATTTACTTCAAACAAGCAATATCATTTTAGGTGCTGTTGCATAAGTAAAGCTTAAGCCCCAAGCCTGTTTTCCAGGTCTCAGGCTCGAAAATGACATTCCCAGAACAAATGACCATAACTTCACTTCTAAAAGGGGAAAATTAATAATCTTTTTTCTCAAAGTAATGATAAACCTGTGAGTTGGATGTAGAAAAGTCAGAATCAATATAGATTTATTTTTATTTTAAAGTAAATTCAGATTGAACATAGTAAAAAAATGTAAATTATTGTGTCCGTGCAAAAAGAACACATTACTTATAGTGAAAACCACCCTTGAATGATGGGATGGTTGACTAAAAGCTTTAGGAATCCAAACTATAACATATAATAAGTACCCTGTATCAAGATTGATGCAAAACAAGTGTAATTTGACCTTTTTAGAGAGATTTAGCAAAAAACAACAATTTCTGGGGTCATTTGGGTGGATTTGACCTATCTCTGGCCCCCCTTGGTACATTTTTATGATTGACATCTCTTTTTAACCGCTAGAGCCAATGGAATCAAGGGAAAGTTCCACATACACGTTACCAAATAAGGAGTGAGAGTGACGCGTAGCAAAAACCGGAAGCTGCGCTAACCTCTGGTGGCTACCATTAGCAGCTAATATTTATTCTCCGATTTTTGCATAAAAATGGAATTATGGATTATCAATATTCTTTTCAAAGTGACAGACACATTGGATTAACCTATGGATTAACCTTCAGCCGCGTTTCTTCTCGTTTTAATGCCATTGAACACAACTTTTGATCAGAATAACAGCTAAAGGTGAGCATATCTTTTATAAAGCTACGTCGTGTGTTGTCTGTATTTGCTTCCCCTGTCGCGAGTTCTAATCGCTCAGTGATGATACTTATATTTCTATAATCTGTGGAATCTCAGGATGTTAAAAGCTTGTTTGTGCAGATCCAATAAGTATATCGATCGGTATAGCTAGAGTTCTGTGCTAAGTGCGTTAGCATGTTTTCGCTCAGGGCTCATTTAGACCCTTCTTGTGAGACTTGTGTTTTGTTTCGGTAAAAATTATTCGTATCATCAGTTAGCTGAGTTTCTTCCCGTTAGGAGGGTATGACACATTCATAGTGTTTTAATATTAAGAAGCCCTGAGACACAGTGTAGTGAAAAAAAAAAAAAAAGACCCGCCGAAGGGGTCTTTGGGGCTTAACAGGTTAAGACAAAATTGTGACTTTATATTGTTTTACAGTGTGTGCATCATGAAAAACATACTTTGAACATTGGCCTTTAGAAGACATTTTATGGAGGTTATCAGTGTTTCTCAACCCTGGCAAATGAATTATATACCGTAAGCTTTAGCATTTTTTATTAAATTGAACCTAAAATACAAAGATTAATCAGTACACAAGTGTAATTACTTTCTGTGTGTTAAGAACCTGTAAACTCTAACAACAGGATAACAACAGGACGAACATTTACTTGTATAGTGTACAAAAAGTGTTTCTGCCCTGTTGTATTGATACTTCAAATAAAATATCGCCCGTTAATAGGAACCAAACATACAACTTCACATTACATATTTTCTTGGAATATTGTGCAAGAGGAGATACCCCTGTATTAAAGTGCATTTAGCGGTGATTGCACGTCTGTTTGTTTCTCAACCATTCTTTGAGTTGACCTTTGAAGCTATTGAGAGTGCACACGTATAATTACTTTCTGTGTGTTAAAAACCTGTACACCCTAACAACAGGATAACAACAGGATAAACATTTAGCTGTCTAAAGTGTTTCCTCCCTGTTGTATTGATACTTCAAATAAAATATCCAAGTACTTCCACCGCCAATGTTCAAAACTGGGACAGGGCAGAAATGACCTAATCAATAAGTTGTAATCATGCATTAAGAGTAGTTGTAGCCCCACCCTCCTCCTCTGAAATCCACATAAGAAGGCTGGAAACAGGTAGAGCTGAAACCAAACACAGCTTCACATTGAGTCTGAACAGACTGTTCCCAGAGAAGACCAACTTCTGAGGAGAGAGAAATAAGGGTTCCAGGATGACTTTGACGGCGTAAGTAATTGTACTCTCAACTTAAGGTTTTAGAGTCTGTTTGTAGAGGAGGTTGAATGTCATAAAGAGTTCATTTCTAAGCATCATTACTGGGGGGATGCTTCCTCTATGAGGTTTTATAATGACACAATGGTTTGCAAAGCTCAGCTAAAATGTACAGTGTTTAGTGTTTTAGCATCCTAACCTTGCTGATTAGTGCAAAACATAAAGTAAAGTTGAGAGTGATGAGAGGTTTGCAGGTTCTTGGTCACAGGCTTACATTAAAGTACAAATTAAAATGTTGCTAAAATGTCAAACCATTACCAAAGTTGTCATCGTGAGGGGAACATAAATGTCTCTACCAAATGTCATGGCATAAATCAAATCATGAGGACACATGCTGACTGTTTCTCTTTTCTTTTTAGGGAAACTTTTACTTTCATCATTGGGATGAATGGGATAACAATTGCATTATCAGGTTTGACTTTAGCCACTACTGCCATAATAGGAGTTGCGACAGTGGCAGCATTGGCAGCAGTGGGAGTTGTCGCATACAAACAGCTGGTAAGTGATATAAAAATATTTCTGGTAAAGTCTGATGAAATAATAACCTACTTTCTAATTGAAATGCCTAACCATGTTATTATCATTTGTTTTCTTTTTTTAGAGAAAAGAAAAGCCACAAAGGACCTGATTAGAGAGGATCATTGAGTCCTCTATATTTACCTGTGAAAATATAAATGGATGCTTGACAATAAAAACAAAGATGGCAGACTATTTTTATCTGACTAAATAGCTGCAATAACTGCATTTTGAACACACCCTTTGATCTATTGTTACATGCAAACTTGCTGCCCTGGGTAAATACCATCTGAAGGAAAGCACAAAATAGTTTAAAGTTTTATCTTTATGCATCAAGAAAGTTCAAAACACTACTTCTCTTTATTATAGGACACATTTTGTTTAAGTATCTTGTTACAAAATAACTCAATCTGACTGAGCGTTCTATGGCATGGTGTTTAGAAGCACGACTTTCTAAGGTGCCTCTGCCGAAGAAGTTATTAGCAGAAGAAACACTAAGGACGTGGCCTTTGTATAATGAAGTCTATTTTCAAAGGGCTTACTAAACCGAATGATGTTAATGCATCCCACAAATCTAGTTTTCATAAGATTTAAATATATAAATGATATGCTCAACCAATAGATTGAGACGCCCGTCAATAGGAACCAAACATACAACTTCACATTACATATTTTCTTGGAATATTGCTATTAAGAGAGAAATAGATTATCAAGGATGGCTTTAGCTGGGTTCTGTAAATGGGTATGGTACTAAAGGTGATAGGGTGCATATATATGGTTGAGTGATAAAGTGACAGATAGTTAAAAAAAAATTAAAAAGGTACCAAAGCAATAGTATACATATATTGCCGTGGTCATTCTTCTCTGTGGTTAGTCACATATTTGGGGAAATCATGGTTTCAATGTTCTTTTTTTACATAACGTTTTTGAGTTCAGTCAAGTTGTTTAATCAAAACTGTTTAGTGGAAAAGTTAAAAGACTTTCGTTTTATTGTCTGTAAACTTAAAAAAAATTGTTTTACTGCCTATCATCATTTATTGGATTAAGGCAGATTTAAGACTGTGATTCTAAAATGAATGGATACAAGAAACACCCATTAATTGCTTTTATACTGATAACTTACCGTGAGTGGAATGAATTCGTCAAGACAAAGGTCATCTCACCGGAGCCAAGCAACAACTGCTGAAACAAACAAAAGGCTTTACTCAAGAGGAAGTCCAGAAGTCCAGAAGAATGCAATCCTGTGTATAAATATGGCTACTCTATGGCTATGCTGTCAGTAAATAAATCGGAAACATGCCTGTTTCTGCTCTGAAATTAAGGTTTGATCTTGTGATCTTTTGGAGCGGCTATGAAAGCAACACATAATTCAATTTCATGAAGTTGTGACAATAACTAATAATCTCTTTGCACTGACCAAAGAGTTTACAGCATAAGTCTGTGTTTACAATTTTTTCACCCATATTGTTTCCTCAATAACTTATTGAATCTAGTTTGTAACAAATTAGTCAAGTCATAAATTGTATATGAAAGTTATGAAGCTAGATAAGAAACATTTATTTCTATATTTCATCTTCACATTTTTACAAAGATGGTCATTGGAGTGATTGCGCTGAATGTCTCTAATGTGCTCAAAATAGAAAGTTGGCATGTGGATTCAATGCAATATAATACTCACACTTGGCCTTTGATCCGTGACGGGGAACCAGGAATCAGCCGTCAGGAACACAATAAAAAGTTGTTCTTGTGTCTTTGTTCCGACATGCCACATGGGTCTGGCACTATCCAGTTTCTATAGCATCTCCTCTTCTTGCAATATTGATACACGATGAAAATACATTTTGGTTTAGGTCGATGTGCTCATAATGGGCACATTCAGACCAATGCAATGTGTTGTGAAAGTGGCTCAGACCTATGCAGTGAAAGGATTCAAATCACCTAAATATATTTCTTTAATGTTGTCAAACTACACTCAAATGTTTGTCCTTTTTTATTACATAACGCTTTAACCACCTTTTTTTGTAAGGATGGTTTAGACTTTCGATATTATTTCATCTGTGAGCAACAAACTACCCCCTACCCTCAAAAAACCCTTTGAAACAGTTCCTCAATACAATACAAAATATCTAAAACCCAAATTGCTCCTCACCAGTGAACACAGTGCACACTCAGACACACACTGAATAAAAGCTAGACAAGAACAAGAGATACATTTGGTTTCATGTAAAACAACTTTAATGAGTTGAGTTAAATCTTCAGATTCCTCAACTCTGACGGCAGAGCACAAATAATTCACAGATATAAGACGGACTGAGCCGTTGACCAAATTACACATTAACTGCGTCCATGTGCTTGTGTGTCTATAAACATGTGACTAGTACAGAATAGTTACGTTATTAAACTTCTTAATTGTTACTGAACATTTCTGCCGGTGTTCCTTGAATTTTCTCGGACGTAGGAGGACTGGTATGTGTGCATTTTGTTGTTCTGGTCTGTTCAGTTGTGACTGGCTGCTGGAGGGCCCGGCTGAGCTGGTGCTATCCCATCAGGCTGAGAGGACGGGTCTGAGACAGTGACAGAAGAAGATCACACCCACAGAATCAGAACATGCTAAAAGAATAACACAAAACATCCCGTTAAAGCTATTGCAGCAGTACGCAATACTCACACATGCCATTGGGAGCTCCAGGATGTCGAGGAGCCATTGTCTGGGCGTTTACTCCACCAGGAATCATCCTGTTGGGCATGGGCTGAGCTGAAGCAGGAGGCACAGCTGCAGTATGGAGAGAACCACAGATATAGGACAAACAATGATTTAACAGATAAGAAGTAAACACACTTGACTCGTTTCATTGCGTTCTCAGAGGGTTAATTTTAAAGCAGGTGTGTCAAGCATACGACTTTGCAAAGTGTAAACATCGCAGAGAAGACATTAACTGCAAGTTTATACATTTACAAGGCAGGGGGATAACTTGACCTTCTTCCTTAATAGTTACCACTTAAGTTTGTATGGTGGTGTGTCAATTCAGTTGGTCAGGTTTACTACATAGATGTGGAAATTAGGGTAAAATCATTTCAGATCTTGACAAGTTGCTTTGATCATAAAGTAAAATACTATGTTGTTCAGTTCCAGATACCTGTGTCTAAGTGTTTTGTGTCTATGTAGATACACTGTAATCTGTCAATTGTGATGAACAAGTGTAAATGATAAACTGAGGCATGAACTTGTTAAAATTGCACTATTCTTCTTAAGAAATGTCAGATTGTTCAAAGTGTTTTTAAAAAAGATAGTTAAAGGTAGGGTAGGTAAGTTTGAGAAACCGGCTCGAGATACACTTTTTGTTATATTCCATGGAATGCTCTTAACATCCCGATAGCAATGAATATCTGAAGTGCTTTGACAACAAATCCATAAAAAAAATTAATCTGTGGAAGCCGTAGTACTGTAAAAAGCACGACCAATCATTTTAGCCGGCCCGGCTAAAATAACTGGATGGCCTACCTGCCGGTCAGCCTTCCATCTGTGCACAAACTTATCTCGTGCCCTCATTGGTCATGTGCGCGTACGTGTGTGTTGGAGGAGGGGATCTGTAAGGAAGTGGCAGATTTTCTCCGGTTGTGTATTTTCAAATTCTAGCGCACTCGAGCTGGTTTCTCCAAAATTACCTACCCCACCTTTAATTAAATGTGAACATTCTCCAAATGTACATGTTGTTGCACTAAAACAAAGGGAAGGAGTTGTTATTATTATGCTATGATTTTACTGGTCTGGCGCACTTGAGATCAAATTTGGCTGTATGTGGCCCCTGAACTAGAATGAGTTTGACGCCCCTGTCTTAGAGGGTGTTTGATTATTGGTCGGTGTGTGTGGTCACCTGTTGGCTGCACGGTGTATCCCGGCTGCGCCTGCTGCGCCTGCTGCGCCTGCTGCTCCCTCTGCTGACGAACCTTGATCTCTGCCTGTTTGAGCTGCTCGGTGTGGAAAGTCTGTCTCTCAGAGAGGAGCTGCTGCCGCTGCTGCTCCAGCTGTAAGATACACAAAGACAAAAAGTATGAATGATACGCACAGATTACTGGACATGTTGCAAAAAACTGAGAGCAGCAGATGTTCACTCACAGCCTCTTTCTCTCGGTCCATGATGGTCTCCAGCTCCTCAAAGTGTCTCAGCTTGATCTCCAGCTTCTTCATCTGGGTCTCCACCAGCAGAGCCACCAGGGACTTGATCTTCCTCTCCTCTACTGCTGCCAGGTGCTGCAAACAAATGAGGCAAACATGGAGAAAGTTAAAAGCAGGTAAATGTTGGAAGGAAATGGACACCACAAATGAGTAAGGACCTGGGTGCATGTGATGGTTTAGAAAGAAGGGAATGAAGAAAGTAGCAGAGGTGAAGATAAGAGGGACAACACAGAGGAAGGAAGAAAAAGATAAGAGGTGAGAGGAGGGTAGAATAAATTGGGTGTGACAGAGCGTGGTAAGGAGTGGGAGAGAAAATAAATTACGAGACTCTTCCGCAGCAAGAGATGGGACAATAACTGATCTAACTCATATAGCTCCCATGGTTACAATAAAATATATATTTTGAATCAAAGCCAATTTGAATCCCTTATCATGTATTTGTATTATTTAAAATAATCCCCGTCTCTTATCTGTCAGACATGCTGAAAATCCAAAATAAAAAATACTCAATTTTATTTGCAGGTCTAAGTCTTAGATATATTTGTTTTATAATTTCCGGGGCTGAAAGGAACAACATTTCCTCTGTTTAATTGTACACACGTAAATTAAAACAAATCCTCTCTAAAATGGTGCATGTCGAGTTGCTTAGACACAGCTGCAGATCTGCTTTTTATTTTTTTATAAATGACAACCATTTCTTCACTTTACGTCCCTGTGATTGGTCCATTTTAATCAGAAAGGGCGGGCTTTACCTTGGCCTTTGTGGCAGCGGAGGAAAGAGCAGCAGCTGCTGCCGTGACAACGCTGCCATCCACCAGATCCTGCTCCAACAACCTCCCCTCATCCACTTCTGCCTGATCAAAGCTCTCGTCGTCATCTACTCTTACTGGATCAAGGAGAGCATTTCTTTAATAACAGACATACACACACATACAGTCAATTTGTATACTGTAAATATTAACATACCTCCGTCTCCCTCCTCTGCAAGTATATTTTCAGCATTTTCGCTTTTGACTAGTTCTCCCGTCACATTGGCCACACTGGGTTCCACTTTGAGCCCATCTGCCCTTAAAGGAACCTGGGAGATCTACACACACACACACACACACACACACACACACACACTCAAGGTTAGCCACTAAACTCACCAGCAGACACAATAAAACTCTAAGCTCTTATTGCTGTTTCACCTGAAGGGGGGTGGAGTTTGTTTCAATTTTCTCTACTTCCATTGATTCTGAAAAACGGAGAAAGACAGAATAAGATATGCATTGTGGACAGCAACGAGAAACATCTTCATGTCAGAAGCAATATTAAAAAGAGCCCCATTAACCGAGTTTTAAACATCAGCATATCCGGTCATAGTCCGGTAATTACCTGCTAACGGAAAGTCTGCTACACAATTCTTATTCTTATTATTGAAACATGACCGGTAAGTTTCAAATTTGTCCGGTAAAATAAATTATTTCCGGACATTTGACCGGCAAGAAACAATCCTAGCGGAAACCCTGCTTCATGTGTGTGTGAATATGTGCACGTGTTACCTGTTTTGTCAGGCTGGTTGGACGCTTCAGAGATCTTATCCAGCGACTCCTCGTGCACTTTGGAGAACTCCTCTGAAGACAAAAACAGAGAATCAATACACACACACTAAACATACAGTAAACCATCTCACAACCATACCCTGACCTACACACTACACTAACACTCCTCCATCAGTCCGCTCACCCAGTGCGGCCTTAGCTGCAGATGATGCCACCCGAGGGTCCACCACAGAGGCCAGGAAGGCCACGGTGCTCATGACGGGGTTTTCTGATTGGCTGAAAGGCACGGGCTGGTACGCCAGTGGGCCGAGGGAAGCCGCGGAGTCTTCTAAGTAAGGGTCTTCTATCGGCAGGCGGAGGAAGTGGAGAATACACTCATCCTGCGTTCTGGAGCCCACATGCTCAGATACTTTGTTCCAGTCATCTCTGTACACCTCTAAGGCCTTAGAGAGAAGGACAGAGGAACAGGTGAGAGTGAGAACAACCACTTTGGGTAAATTACTAATTCATAAAAAAAATAAAAAAAGCAATTTCCATTTGCAAAAAAGGAAGCCATCATGTGTAAGATCTTTGAAAGAAACTTATCTTTGTAAGTTGTCTTACCTCTAACAGCAAGAGTGTCTCTTGCTCCGTCCATTCTCTTCCTGATACTCCTTTAGTCTGAAGCACATGTCATAGGAATAATTTTAGAATAATTCAAACCAACACTTTTAAAATTCCTAATAAGAGAAATTAGTGAAATTAGAGAATAGTAAAAATACATATTTTTTAAAACAAATGAACAAAGTGTTTGTGTTGTTCCTGTTTGAGACCTTAGGGATTTTCTTGGTGTAGATGTCGGAGCGCAGACCAAAGTTCTGGCATTCTGAAGGCTTCTCTCTGCTCTTTTCCTGGAAAAACAACATGTTCTGCGAGGCTGACACCTGCGAGAGCAAAGCCAGTGGCAGAGTTAATGAGGAGGCATTTCATTCAGTTCAAATGTGCGTTCCTTTCACATTTGCACGGAGCTGTTGTCATGTTTTCTGTGTGTGTTTACCTGCAGGGGTTTGTGTTGTAGTGGGGCCAGCCCGGACGGTGTGTCAATCAATACATTGAAATGAGGGGTGGGTGGGGGTCCCATGGGCAGGGGTTTGCTCTCTGCATCCACCTGGTAGTTAATCAAACCCCACTGCTCCAAAAATGAATGAACCCTGGACACAAAAAACATACATTTTTATTAACCATGTTGCCGTGTTGCTGCTTTAAAACTGCCCACACAGATGACACAATATAAAAACACTGACAACTCCAGCATGTGTCATGTATTAAAAATAAAAGCTGATTTTGAGATGCATTGAGTTCACCGCGTACCACATGTTTTATTAGCAACAGATTTAATTATTTAGCATTTTTCTTTTACAGAACACCCACATACCACAGTTAATGTAGCAGATGCAGCAGACAATACATGGATGGAAACGCCCACACACATTCACACACACATTCACACACACAGTTATACCTTATGACAGAGCAGACGTCTCCAGTGAGGATGCGTCTGCAGGACGTTGAGCTGAGGTATTCCTGGGGGTTGAGCCGGTATGTGTCGATCATGAAGTTACGGTATGCCAGGTAGCTGAAGTGCACAGGAAAATCCATGTTTTAAAGTGAGATATAATCTCAGTTTCTAATCTTTATCAACAGATAAACCTAAGCGGTAACGTCTGGATGTCTGCAGTACTCACATTTCTGGTGATTTTGACTTGTTCTTTCCATGGAAGAATTCAGGCAACGAACGTTTCTCTATCGAGTGAACGCTGGAATATATGGATGGAAAGGTTGTTTGGGGTTAATTTATGAAGTTTGGATGTAAGAAAGCTAAATTGGAGTATTAGTTTGAGGGGGATTTTATCACCTGTTGTTATTGAACCAAGACGTGTAGCTCGGTATTATGATGTGATGTGTTTGTTCTGTGGTGTTGTCTTCTCCTTCTGAAAGCCGATGTATATCCCCTCTTCCCTCCTCATCTTCCTAGACACACACATACACACAGATTACATTTACATCACCCTAAAAATAGACTGATAATTGCTACAGAATACCTGGCCCTTATGCATTTACATAAACATCTTGGTTGTGAAACATAAAATCATGTTTACCCTTCCTGGGAAATCATCCTCCAGTTCATCTGAAAAAGTCAAATGAGAATGGGTGAAAACTCAAGGCGACTACACGAAAAAAAATGCAATAACCTTTAGTGTTTTAGATAGAAAAAACATTAACACATGCTTTATATATCTCCTTTAACATCAGCTATTACACTTTTCTTACCCAGGTCAGTCATGGTCCCTCCTTTGACAGGAATATTCTCACTGTCCTTCTTCAGGTTGACTATGAGAACATGGGAAAAAGGTTTAGAGACAAAATGCTCTACGTTTATGGGACACATTTTTAAGTCACTGTTTTGTAATGTTTTACCATTCTTGGGTAAAATAACTTCCTCCATGTTAGGGACAGGGGTAGGGTCCTCCATGTCTTTGGTCAAGTCTTCTTCTGGCTCTTCCTCCTGTGGTCCACGCCTTCGCCTGCACACACAGACAAGAATCAATGCTGACACTTCACCTAGAAATGGCAAAAGTATACCCTCCTGTTGGGTTAAAACAAATGTTCCTCACCCCTTCTTTCCCTTCTTCCTGCCTTCAGAGGGAGGAGAGATGGAGCGTCTTCTCTTTTTTGAAGGGGTGTGTTTGGAGTCCTGAAACAGAGGGTGGAAGTATATGGTGAGAAATTTAGAAAAAGGAGACATCAAGCACCATAAGGTATAACATCATACATCAAGACTCTTAGTAATATTAAAATGAAGGTCTCCTGGTTGGCTGTTGCCTTCATTTTCAACCAGGAAACTGAAAATCGAATTATTGATAATTGCCTTTCCCTTAAAAAGCCCTGCTGACCAGCAACAAAATCACACAAACCTGCTCGTCTCTGAGGTGAATACGCCGGCGCAGAATGATAGCTACATTCCTCTCATTCACACAATAGTCTTCTTCGTTCATCCACTCGTTGAAAACATCCGTGTCCAGAACCCAGCCAGCATGGACCTGGAGCGCACACACCAGACAAAATTAATATTAATGCGCACAAGAGATCATACAGTGCTGTACAAGACCGGTCACCCCTGTAGTAACATTGATATATCTATTTTATAAAAAGAAAACATTTGATTTTTTTCTAATGGACTTTGAGTTTCAGCTGAAGATCATGATATAACCAAATTCCAGTCAAATTGAGACTTATGATACAGTAAATAAAGTGAACACTGTGTTGTGTAATTAAGTATTTAGCGTGGTACAGCATCATGTTTTTGTAGGTGTGCTGAAGTACTAACCCGCCACGGCTTTTCTGAATGTGGTGGCTCTTCAACCTCTCCTTCAACATCACTTGAGGACAGCCAACTGTCATAACTGTATAAGAGTAGCAAAAAAGACAAAAAGGGTTAGCATTGTGTTTGTTTGTGTGTAAGCATCTCTGTGTGTGTGTGTGTGTGCTCATGCATTACCTGTCAGGGTGCATGCCCCAGTGTACCAAAACATGTTTGTCTTTCCTCATGACAGGACGCATCCATTCATCTGAAAATACAAGTGTATGAAAAAATGTATCAAGTTACATTTGAACAAGCACTTAAAAGACAACAAACACACAGTCATGTACAAACTGTTACTGACCTTCCTCTTTAGAAGCAGGTGAGGGGTAGATGTGGTGACTGGCGAGCGTTCGGTCCTCAGTGAGCGTACCCTGTGTAAGAACAAACTGTTACCCTGTTGCACTTATATCGAACTACATTATGAGAGCTTTGCTTAGTTTCATATGTTTCTGTCTAAGAATACAGCAACCTATAAACCTTTTCTCCTACATCAGTCTGGCTTACGCTCTTGTCTGCTCATAATTAACTCCCCTCTGCAGCACTTTACCTGGTGTTTGGCGATCACATCTGTAAGTCTGCTAACCAGCTCCTGGTCCAGCGTAGGGTCCACATATACCACAGGCAGTGACATACCCTTGTTCTGTAGACGCACACAAAACAATTTGTTCATTAGTGGTCCCTGTTAGGCTTATAGTTGTGTGTGTTTGTGTCTATGTGTATTCATGTGTGTGTCTGTGTCACCTGGATCAGTGATATTCCAATTGCACCAAACATCTCAACATTCCTTTCAGTTCGTGATGGATTCTGCAAGTCAAACCTACGCCTGTAAAAAGATGTAAGGGAAGAGATTACATTTAAATAACATTTCTGGTGAAAAAAGGCAATGTTTGGCATGTCACTCACCAGCCTTGCTCTGCCTTAAACTTGTAGGCAGTGCCAAGAATGTGGCAGAGTCCACCCGCTGGTCGCAGGTCCAGGAAGCTTTGTGCCTGCAGGGAAATTGTCAAATTAACAGCCGATTTTTTTACTGGATGTCTTTAAGCTATCTTGCAAGATTATTTGTCACATAACTATTTTCCCATTTAAATTGAAAGAAGCTTTGAGATTTACTGTGCTATTGTATCCTTTGTTATGCTAATACTATTTCAAGACTTTTAAAATGTGTCATATTATATACAGTACAACGTATAGTGAAAATATTTTGTGCCTCGCTCCAGAAAGCAATGTTCAACTAGAATATGACTGCTTAAAGGCAGAATGAATGCAGAATTGTATTTATATTGTAGTTAAACAAATGTATGTACCCAATTCCCAATACATTTCATTATACATTGTGATGCAATTATATAGTGATCTCTACCCCTGCAAAACACTATATTAACTCAACATTAATCATAAAGGATTGAAACTTCGGAAACTACTAACAACACAATTAGGTATTGCAGATTTAGATTACTCGGACTGAATTATGACAATTATTTCAATGACAGAGAGAGAGGGACTCACAGGCAGTTTGGAGAGAACAGGACTGGCCGCTTGTCTGCCAAACGCATCCTCTTGGAACTGGAGGAGCTGCAGGGTGACTGCAGCCAGAGCCTGACACGAAGGAGCATCCACCAGCACATACTGACACACACACAGACACAAATATTGAAAGTGATATGACAAGGACAATTATTCGTTAAAATGCTTCAATGCAACCTACTGCATTCTACGATAGTCTAGCCAGTTTACTGTTGTATTTATACTGGTTTTCCTCTAGGATTTGGCCACATTTGCACGTCATCTTTTACATGCATTATTGTAAATAGATGAAGCACTTATTAACTTTATCACACACATCCTGCTGGGCAGTATAAACGTAACGTTATGCAGCATGAGACGTTTGTTTACAGTCTGAGCCATTGGACAAGCTAGCAGGGGGCGGCTAGCTTGTAGCTTCCTAACCAGCTAGCTACCTTTTTGTAGTGCTTCCCGATCCACTGTCGCACCACCTCCAGCTGGGCTAAAGTCTCCGGACTCTCCCAGAACCTAGCGGACGGACTGCTGTCTTTTTTCCGGTGTGCGGAAGTTCCGGAGCTGGCTAGTCTTGCCCCGGGAATGCCGAGGTTTGTTCCTCCGGACATTGTAGCCATAATAAAACGAGATAAATCTCATACAGAAGAACAAAACTGGCTAGCGCGCCTGCTAGCTTTTGCGTTCTCGATTTATCTCGCGAGACGCAGCGAGATTATGGCTGTTCGGCATGGTTTCCTATTTTTGAATAATTAATGTATTTCATTTTCACGTTGTTGTTTTTTTAACTTAATTGAGCCCGTTCAGCAGTCATCGTCTTACTGCACTTTTTTTTAATGCAGAATACACGCCTTCGTTACACACCAAGGGAGCTTTATTTTGAAGTACAACATAACAAGGAAATAAGTACGTCGCCATACATGTAAACAGAAGTGAAGCAATTTGACTTGGTAAGTTACAGCTTGTATTTTGCAATGCTCTCGTTCCAAGATTGATTTTCTAACACTTGTTGGGAAATGTCCGGCATTTTGTTTATTATCTGCATTGTTTTGTTGCAGTACTTTCCGTTTTGTGTTGAATCGACCCTCATAATGCCTTTGAAAAACATATTTCCAGCTGTCTGTCGATCACATGATGATTTTGTTCCGTCGCATTCAAACCGCAGACTGCATACACCCTCAGACCAGACACAATACTCTGCGTGGCACTGAATCACCAGCAGTGAGTAACATCTTCTCCCTCCATGTCTTCCTAGGCCCTGAGACCCCATGGGTGTACATGGTCTGACCACCTATGTGGAGGGCAACAGAAACTTTCTCCAAGATGTGAAATTCAGGGACAGCCGCCTGGTTATTGATGGCTGCAGCCTGTTTTTCCGCCTCTACTTTAACTATGGTTTGGACCAGCAGCACGGAGGGGACTATGATGCATTTACTTGCCTGCTCTCCCAGTTCCTCTCTGCATTGGAGGCCTGTAACATCCAGCCATATGTGGTTCTGGATGGAGGTAAGGATGCACTCAGGTCATTCTTATAGGAAACTCAAGTATCATTACATGCATATTTAAATGACAGGATATTGTGGGATGCTCAGTCAAAGCATCATGCTCATTTTTGTTTAAAATAGATCAACAAGTTATTTTGAACCTGCTCCAATAATAGTTTTTTCTTCAGTTGACACACCCATAAACATTTAATTTAATTTCTTTGTTTGTTGTGATAAGGAATTGACCCCAGTGACAAGAAGTTTCCTACGCTGCGCCAGCGTCTGCAGTCCAAGATAAAAGAGGCAGACAGTCTCTCCCACGGCCGCAATGGCTCTGTGCTTCCCCTCCTCACAAGAAGTGTCTTCATTGAAGTCCTCATTCAGAGAGGGGTCCCTTTGGTCCAGTGTCCAGCTGAGGCGGACTGGGATATTGCATGTTTGGCTCACCAGTGGAAATGCCCAGTCCTGACCAATGACAGCGACTTTTATATCTTTGACTTGCCAGGTATGTAGCAACAGGATTCTTGTACCTTAACAAAATCAAAAAGACCATTGTAATAAATGGTAGCGATAGTATCTCACTTGATGTTTCGCTGTTGTTTCACATGTTGTTGTTGTTTCCCTAGGTGGTTATCTTCCACTCCATTATTTCCAGTGGACCAACCTGAACGGTAAAGCCTCTCACCGCTACATCTCGGCTCGTTGCTACACCACTACCGGGATCTGTCGCTTGTATGGGGGCATGAACCAGCAGTTGCTACCTTTATTTGCTGTCCTGGTGGGGAATGATTATGGCACTCCAAAAGATGCTGATGCACTCCTGGGTCTGTTAGATGCGGGTGTCTTAGTGAAAGGTGGTGGCAGGGGCAAAGGTAGAGCACCCGCTTCCCGCATTGAGGGCCTTCTCCTCTGGCTGTCTTCTTTTTCTAGTCCGGGGGAGGCCCTGGAGGAAGTGAGCAGGCTAATGGGGGAGAAAGATAGAGGACCAAGGGGAAAAAGCGGAGAGAAAGGTGGGCTCAGTTCACAGCTGTGGGCAGGAATGCAGGAGTACCACATCACGCCTCAAAGCTCTTTGGCTGGCTGGTTCTCTGGAGGTAAGACAGCTCCTGGACGACCGTCCTCTGGGATGCCAGAGTGCCTGTCGCTGGCTGCAGCGCAGGGACTGTTAGCTCCTTTGGTGGTAGATGCTATTGTGATGCGCAGGGTCCTTCTGATCCCACAGGTTGAGAACAGCAAGTTAGCCAGCAGCCATTGCAGTGCAAGCTACATACGCCAGGCTATATATGGGATATTAATGCAGAGAGGCCAAGATGTCCAAGCAGAGGATATGACGGCACAAGAAAAAATCAACCAAGGTACGAGAGGTGGGAGAGGGGGAAGGGGGCAGAGAGGTGGTCAGGTCGGCGGAGGTAGGGGACAGGGAGACATCTTACCCACACAACAGGGGGTAAATGTAGGGTTTAGCAATAGTGCAGCTACAGTGCACGCTCAGGGCTCTAGTTCCCCGATGTGTGTCGAAGAGTATGACCGCGTGGATCTGAACTTAAAGAAAAACATTCTAGAGGCACATCGGCTCAGGACCCCCCTACATCTAGATACACTTGGCCAGGTAAACACGACAACAAAAATAATGTTTTCTTGTTGAACTTGTTGTTTTTAAAGAAAATTGTTCATGTGATTTATTAAACCTTTCCTATTTATCCCGTCATTTTTTATCCAGGCTCCTGTGGCGGTTCGTCTTGGTGTACTGTTAGATGTCTTGGGGATGAAAGAGTCTGTCCTGGCTCCTGTTCCTCTCCACCTGAGGCTGGCTGTAGCAGTGATAGCTTTCTGGCGTCGAGTGGCCTCACCAAAACCCTCACAGCCCCAGGTGCAGGCTCTGGTGCTGGGCATGATTTACGGAGAGCTGTCCTCGAACAACCAGCCTGGAGCTACCCACTACCAACAAGCCAGTTAGTTGTGTTGTATATTTTTTACTATCACACCAGGTTACAAACACTGACATGTCATGTAATAACAAGGCAAACCGCATGCATACACAACTCGCATTTAAAAAACAGAACAAAAAATATTAAAAAAGGATATAAAAACATGTTGTTGCTATGTGTAATCTTAGACCCACAGCTAAACTGGGCTGCGGAGCGTCAAGTGTGCGCAGGGCTGGATCGGCAGCGTGTGAGGCCAGGGGAGCGACGTGGATTGGATGTTGGAGTGGCTCACAGTTTTAGCCAATGGCAGGCCTGCCTCTGGAGTGCGCTGTGTCTTAATCAGCTGTTGCTGCTGCCACTGCCTGAACCCCACATATCATGGTAAGGCACAATGAGAGATTGCATTACATTGCCCACCAATGAAAACCAGAGCTGCAACTAATGTGCTTTTTCTTTAATAATTCAGTCTATAAACTGTAGCAAATATGTACACATTGCCACATTTGTCATTTTCATCATAATTGTCTTGAAAGACACCACATCCATGACAGTTGAGGCATTTGCACTTATAGAGTTGTATGCCCAAATTACAATTACATTTTCTCACCTGTGTGATCTGGCCATGCAGCTAGTTTTGTTTTTATTTGCAGAGGTATTGAGATATTTTTCCCTGGAGATGTTTTCAGTGCCCTTATTGTGATTGAATTCTGTTGGTGCAGATTTATACATTGACAATTACTGAAAAGAAATCAAGAATAATTTAGAACCCTGTTATAAAACAGTACCTTGCTAAAGGGTTTTTTATCGTATTTTTCCCATAGGAATATATATTTGTAATCCTATTCACCTCATCTGTATCAGGTTGGACCTATGGTAAAACAAAACATTTTAGCAGATACCACCATGTGGAAAACAAATTGTAATTGGATTCCTTCTCTCCCTCTGTGTGTGTTACAGGTTGTACAGTGGTACTTTGGTGCACGGCCTGCTCAGGTACCTGAAAGGGGGCCAGGCTGCTGAATCCCTCCTAGCTGGGGGTTCCTTTTCAGTTCATCTTTACTCCTCCCTGCTGGACGCTGTGAGGAGCCGCGACTCCAAAACCCATCCTTCCTCTTCAGCAGCAGGGAGGGGGAAGAGGGGTGGAGGCCGGGGAAGGAGAGAGAGAGGGAGAGGAAGAGGGAGAGGGGGGAGAGGAGGAAGGGGAGGGGGGAGAGGGTCTGAGGAGATAAACAACAGGTTTGCCCTACTGATGAGCGAGGATGAGTCTGATGACGATTGATGAGGAGAAAAATGTACTGATCGATATTAAGCAGTCGTTTTGGGCCAAATAGGGGAGGATATTCCAGTGTTTTATTCATCACACTCAGGGAATGCTACAAGCAAAGAACAACACATCTTAATATTGACCACTGAGCTTCTGCCTATGTAATCATGTTGCATTTAATTAACTTAGTCACTAATGTTTATCTGCCTATCTTCTGTTGCTGACTCAAATGAAAAGATGTCCATCAAGCAAAATTTATTTTCCCCAAGCATACTCTTGCCATATTTTACCAGAGCTTTATTCAAGTAATATCACTGTAATTAATGCACGTTTTTAATGTGACAGTTTTTATTTGGTGACAGTTTTTAAAGGTGTATGGCAGCTAATGTCATTTTAAGGAGCAACTTGTAAAATCTAACTTTAACGCAGATGCCTTTATACTCATGAATTTGGTGCTTGACTTACTTATCTTTCTATAATAAAAAATATAAATCAAACTTATGAAGATGTTTTTTCAAAATGATAATAAGTCTGTGCATTATAACTATGATACCAATTGTTCATTATATCGCATTCACAATTGCAATATTGTCCACAATCGAAATCAAATCAAATCAAGTTTTATTTATAAAGCACATTTAAAAGCGATTTTTGGTCGAGCCAAAGTGCTGTACATGTAATAAAAACACATTACTACAATCACAATAAAAGACAATAAATTACAACAGATATATATTAAAAAAAAACACAAGGAAAAGTCAGGAGTCGTGCTCCGCTCTAACTAGAAGGCCAGAGCAGAAATATCACTTTTTATGCAAGCCCTACGAGGATGTTCACATGAGTAAGAGCTGACAGGCCTTGCATATTAAAATCAACTCCATTGTTGATTGTAGGCCTAAAGTGTCATCAAGTCACAACTTAAAGGGCCCATGTCATGGCCATTTCCACTGATCATAATTCCATTGTTGAGGTCTACTAGAATAGATTTATATTGTACAATTTTCCAAACTCGCATTGGTTTCTCATACAGCATCTCTGTAAACTACGTGTATTCACTGAATTTCACTCTCTGCCTTTAACGGCTCGTTGTAGCTCCAATAGCTCCAGCCCCCACCCTCCCTGTGAGCACAGTGTGCTCTGATTGGTCGGGACGTTGTGAATCGCGCTGAGCTCCGTGGAGGTGTTGTTTCCTTGTTAGCGATACACAGCCAAACACAGCCAAACTCATCCTGAGCACACACAAACTCACAGCCGAAGTAAAAACAATAAGTGTGGCTTGATATTGAGTAAGAAAAAGGTTGATAAACGCTGTGAGAATGGGTCTGCAGAGAGAATTTCGCCGCAATCCCAACTGTCTGTTATCAGCCTGCACAGGGAGGAGAAATCAGCAGAGCTCCCTGCTCCCTGCACACAGATGTGTGTGTGAGGAAGTCCGTGGATTGGTCAATTTGGACCAATCAGCGGGGGCTTAACGTAACGGCTCCGCGGACGTAACGTAACGGCTCCACGGATTGGTCCATTTCGTTCCGGGTACGGCATGACATCATCAAATCAAATCAAGTTTTATTTATAAAGCACATTTAAAAGCGATTTTTGGTCGAGCCAAAGTGCTGTACATGTAATACGAACACATTACTACAATCACAATAAAAGACAATAAATTACAACAGATATATATAAAAACAAAAAACACAAGGAAAAGTCAGGAGTCGTGCTCCGCTCTAACTAGAAGGTCAGAGAGAAGAAGTGTGTTTTTAGTGTAGATTTAAAAACCCCTAGGGTCTGGGCCAACCTCACATGGAGGGGCAGAGTGTTCCAGAGCCTAGGGCCAGCTGCTGCGAAGGCTCGGTGCCCTCGGGTTTTAAGCCTGGTCTTGGGCACTACCAGCAGCAGCTGGTCAGCAGACCTTAAAGCTCTGGCTGGGGTGTAGCGCTGGAGGAGTTCAGCTATATAGGCCGGAGCCAGCCCATTTAGTGCTTTAAAAACAAATAAAAGGATTTTTAAATCAATTCTGAACCGAACTGGAAGCCAGTGTAGTGAGGCCAGAATTGGGGTGATGTGGTCACGCTTTTTGTGGCCAGTCAGCAAACATCATGACCAAGTGTAAATTGTACTCTGTCAATTTTTTAATTGATGTTTACACCAAGTGCTGTAATCGCAAAAAAAAGTTGTATTTTTTTTGTTCATTTTAGATATCTTTTAATTGTAGTTAGACATCATGCCGTACCCGGAACGAAATGGAAGAATCAAATGGACAATGACGTATCTCCAACGAGGCGTTTTGGGGAGGTATTTTCTGTATTAGAGTTTTACTCGCTACAGGGTGTACTTTGAGGGTTTGTGACTCTGCACACCGTTTACATGCATAAAAACCTTCATAACACACAAGGGGACGGGTAATAACCGGAAAAGCATGACATGGGCCCTTTAAAATATAAATGAATCTTCCTCTTGTCCTACGAGGATGTTGAGGTTGAAGCAGATGGAGAGGTAGAGGCAGCAGCTGCAGCGTGTGGCTGAGAGTCTATGAGGTCCATGTCTTCGTCTTCGTTGACTCCACAGGTGTCGACCACACAGACCAGGCAGCTGGTGACGGGAAACGCTCGCACCTTGCTGCAAGATACCCACCTGAACACACAATAAAACTGACTTAGAGGGTTTGAAATGTCAAAAATATAGAGGAAATTTGATTCAGGGTTTAGAGTCATAAGTAGAATATCTACTTATTTATTTACGTAATATTTAGTGAATACACTGACCTGTCGGTTTCAGTGTGGTACTCCAGGACGTGTCCGAGCCGCCCCACACCTTGAAACCCTGCCAGCACATAGATGATGTCACCGACCACTGCACACTTCACTGTTATACCTCGCCACGGCATCGGCGAGGCGGCACGCCACTCATTAGTGGCTATGTCGTAGTATTCCACCGAGTCAAGTCCACCTGTAAAGAAAACACAAAAACTCCATAATTCAGAGGCCACATATGCTCCAACTACTATTTCAAATAGTAGTATAACATAATTATAATAACGTGTTTGTACCCAGTGCCCCCTGCCCTCCAACAGCATAGATCCTGCTGTTGACCACCACCAGCCCATGGTTCTTCCTGACCTCTCTCATCTCGCACAGCTCCCTCCATCTGAGGACAGAAAGATGGAGACAGACACAGGGGCACATATGGGATTAAGGAAGAGTGTAACAGAGAACAACACTACCGGATTTGAGCCCTTTTGGGTGCATGTGCATATTATTATTGTGAGGTACAAACTTTGAAACTCAAGTTTCTTTCTAATAAAATGTATAGTTTTGACTGGCATGTCTCCCTGCTTTTTTTGTGGAGAAGCTTCTTTGACCTCCTGGCCTGATACAATCTTTTGAAAGCACATTAGTCAAAATAAAAATGTTGCTCTTGTCAATTTGAACTAGTGGCTGTTATCATTTCTACTGAGACTTTGGGATTCTCACCAAACAAAATCGATTTGATATTGTTATGCATATACTTTTCCTCCGTTTTACTGTATAATTCTGAATCATTTTTGTGTGACTCACTTTTGAGTGCTGGGGTCGTAAACCTCACAGTTATTGAGGACCCTGCCAGATATGTTGTTGCCCACTGTGCCTCCACACACGTATATGAGCCCGTTGGCCTCCACTGAGCCGTGGCTGCAGCGAGCCAACAGCATGCTGGTTTTCACCTGCCATGACTCGGTTCTTGTGTCGTAGCATTCAAAAAGGTCCAGGGCAGAGCTGCCTGCGGACACACACATGGATCATGGTTAAATACTTTCATAAAGGGATGACTTTCTACTATGGAGAATTCTCAACTCCACTATCCCCAATACAGTCAGTAAACACACAAAGCATCCAAATTCCCAGGATTCAAGTCCACCCCTTCGACCCGCCTGTACTCACCGACTTCTGACCCCCCAGACGTGTAGATCTTGCCCTGTGAGGCACAGGCAGCCAGGCTGTCACGAGGCGTGGGCGGCCCCAGCTTGGAGTACCAGCTGTCCTTTAGGACGTTGTAGCAGTCCATGCGCTTGATGGGGAAGAGCTGTGAGCCCCCCAGGATGTAGACCACGTTGTCCCAGAAAATAGCTGTGGCATCGCGCCGCTTCTCGAAGGGGCAGCGGATGTCTGTCCATGAGGAATCCTGCATTAAAAGCCAGATTAGAAATTAAACAGTGTGAACTTTTATTTCCATTGCCCTAACTATATACAATGATATAGCTGTAATGCTTGTTTTTGCCAAAGTCTTGGTTCTGAAATTGAAAAATGTACTGAACAAAATAATATACACCTAAAATACATTTACTGCCTTGGTACCTTGGGGTTGAAGTAGCGGCAGGATTGAGGCTGGGAGCCCCCGAACAGAGCGATGCGGTAGTCGTGCTTCTTGCGTCTCGGTCGGCTGCTCTCTCCCAGATCCTCCCTGTCCTCCAGGGACAGCAGGTGGTAGCGCATCCCACCTGGGACAAAGGCATCAGGGGTTTTATTTTTGGTGTGTGTACGTTTTGACATGCTCTTTTGAATCAGAATCTTAAATATGAGATCATTTAAGACTTAAGGGTTGGGGATACAGGTGGGTTAACACCATCTTTGGTGGTGGCACACATTTTAAACATTTGCAAGAGCCCTGCCAAAAATAATTTTACCCTCAATAATAATACATATTTTATCTTTCACTACTATAATAGAGTATGTCGAGATGGGTTGCATCCAGTGTAATGTAATTGTTCTACACCTAGTAGACAATGTGACCCTTTACTTATTACACCAATATTTTTGCGCCCCTTTTTTTGAATAAGCTACAACCTATTGTTGTTACATTATTGTTACTAAGCTTACACTTTTATCCAAAGCAACTTGATTGTACGTTTAGCAAATTAACCACCCAAACCATAGCGGTCTATTGTGTGTAAAAATGTATGTGTTTCTCTCTCTTCCTACTTACTGATGACCATCTTGAGACACTTCGGGTCGTCCTGGATGAGGGGCTCAGCCTGCACCGTCTTTGAGAGGAAGGTTTTGGAGACCAGAGGAAAGCGAACACACCCCAACACTTCCACCATGTACTGCTGTCTGTTACACACATCGTACTTCAGCCATCGTACTGCTGCGTCATAAATCTGAACACCAATGCAAAAAACAACAACATACAGATTATTGCTGGCATTGTTTTTGCAAGAGCTATGAGTCATCTTTGTCATGATGTGTTGAAACCATATTTGTTTGGTTTTCCGAGTTGTTCTTTGGATAATTAGCATGTATTGCTTTTGTTTTTTAAATGTTGTTAGGGACTTATTATTTTGCACTAAAGATAGCCAACAAAGGTACATCTATATCAACAACTATGATATGTTAAAAAAAAAAAAACATATTCCTAAAAATAATAGCACAAAAGATATGAATTCAAAGGATGTGTAGAAGTGTACCTGGGCCTCAGCTCGGATAGTGAGCTTGTCCTGGTGCAGTAAGTGTGTGAGCTGTTTAACGTCCAATTGCAGAAACTCATCCAGTTTGTAGACTTCAGTGAAGTGGAGCTCAAAGAAGTCGTCTGCTGCAGCCTTCAGGTCAGAACAGTCCATACAGTCTGCCAAGGAGGAAATACCTGCAGGAGGATAAGACAAGGATCAATCACTCCAGAGTAACATGATGGGGCAGGACGCAACAAAACACATGTGTAGGACAGATAACTTTAATTCTACTTTTCTAGAAAAAGCAGCTGGAATAGTGTGCACCTTAGTAATATAAGTGGTATTGATAATTGATGCTGGGGAGTCCATAGATAAAGCATCAAAGGGCTCAGCAAATGTTGAGGTCACAAACGATGATATGTGATTTCACCTTGATTGTATTTACGTTCTTACCAAGGCAGTTTGTTGCATCAATTTGTCCTTTGAGGAACTCCACACACATCTTCTTCACAGGCTCAATCTGGTACTGGTTGGCTGCATCCAGCAATGACTGGACGTTACTGCTGTTCACAGAGATCCTGGCACACACACACACACACTTCATCATTAAAAGAGATGCATGTGGCTGTTTTGAAAGCAGTTATGATTAGCATCACCAGAGGCCTGTACTACGAAGCCGGTTCAACCTAAGCTTGATATGTTTGAGTTACCCGGCTAACCTAATCCAAAACAAACGCGCTCTCGCTAAGCTGTCCTACAATGCTGGTTATCAACTTGTTAACTCAAGCCAGCTTTACCCTATCTAGTTAGGTACGCATTCACATGAAAGGCGTGGTATTTGGAGCACTCGACCAATCACAAACATGGGCAAGCGTGCTGACAGCGCAGCGCATCATACTTCCTAAATGAAAAGTCAACTATAATTAGACAAATATGAAGACGTTAAACTTTAAACATCCATGACTTAAACACTTTATCCAGGATAAAAGCCACATAGTTGCACCTGCAAGGTGAATACAGCTGGTAAAAGAAAAAGTGTTTGAATGCGTACATTAACAGGTTTATGATATCACTGCCCCGTCTAAGACACGAGTGGATCTGACTTTAATTACATTTGACTCAAGTGTTTCGTCAACTTAATGTGTTGCTTAAAATAATACTTCTGCATACAGTATGTGACACTGTGAGTGTTGCACGGCCAGATACGGCTCAAGAAGCTGACTCAGATAAGGAAATATATGATACATTATGATGTGATATGATGTGATATGATGTGATATGAATGATAATGGGACACATCGACGTCTGCACTCACAGTGCCACGGACTGTACGTAATGTTACTTTGATCCGGTTACTTATGTTGTGGCAGATATTTAAGTAAGCTTTCTTAACGCTAATGTTATAATAGTCAGATTGCTCTGAAGATGGGAGGTGATATTCTATTCATTTTCACGTTTACACAGTCAGTTGATTTTTGCCGGCCGTCTTTCCTGCAACGGCAGTCTAAACTGTATTTCCTTTCTCCTGTAATATGACTTGATCGCTTTAAACTCTGCACACTAGGCTCTGATTGGTCAGCAGGTGGTGCTTTCACTGAGTTGATCTCTTATCCTGGAACCTAACCTGCTCCGGACCAGGCTAGCCGTTCAGCATAAATTACCATGGAGATCTAGCCCGCTAAGAAGTGAACCAGCGTCGTAGGACCGGAAACCCAGAGTTTTCTCTGAAGTTAGCTCGCTAAGCGAAAATCCAGCTTCGTAGTACAGGCCTCTGGTCACATTACATTTTAAGTTGCCCCATATGCCTTAAGCCAATACTGCTATATTTCACAATATACTCTCTATACTTTTAGCCAAGACGCTTACCGAGCTGTGTAGATAAATTCAATCAAAAGCTCAATGATCTCCGGCTCAGCACTCCTGAGCTCCACCTCGTGGGAGGTCGACTCCATCATTCTGGCTAGAGGTAAGGAAAAATAGATTTAGATTTCAATGAAAACAGAAACCTACCAACAATGCATGGTAGATGAAGTTTCTTGTTATGCCTAGCAACAGCTTGGAGACCACTGCTTAAATAATATTGTGACTTTCCAAAAATATTATCTTCCATTCTAAATCTCATATAGCAACAGAGGCATTTTATCACTATGTTTTTATGTTGCAGAGGTACATACGATAAATGCAAACCAGACTAAAACCAAACCACAATAATAAAAACATACATGGTTATATAAACAAAACCAAAAACCAATTCAAAACCAAGAAGATATGCATTTAAAATTGGGAATTGTCTTAGCGGTAATCACAATGTAGGCTTTTTGTTGAAGCACATTCTAAGTATGCGGAGCATGTTAACGAAAGCCAGTGTTTTGGCACAGCAGGCAATGGTGTGTCCATTAACTATCTCCAGTAATATCTTGGGCTAGTTGTACAAAATATTAAGTGGCTGTCCTGTCAAAAGTTCTGTGTTTCGTTGTCGACACTTACTGGTAAACATGAGACTGAAGAAGTGGCTGGCAGCTGCCAACACTACCCTGTGGGCATGAAAGTGTTTCCCCTGAACCATCAGGGTCACATCGCAGAGGGTACCCTGAAGAGGAAAAGCAGTCAGAATTCCCTATTTGTCCCGCAACGGGGAAATGTACAGCATTACAACAGCAGAAGTATAGTGCAGATAAAGTAAAGAAAAAAATGGTTTACATATTAAATAAAAAAGACAATAATTAAAAACTAATAACAGATAAGTACACCATGGTAAAAATAAGAAGCAATATATATATATAAAGTGACCATATTCAATTAAAAAGGTTACTGGTACTGTTTACAGATTGTAAATACATTTAAAGAAAAAGAAAGTGTGAATTGCACGAGGGTATATTGCACATGAGTGTATATTGCACAAAGTGTCACATTTACAGGCAGTGTTATTGCAGTCTATATGTGTGTGAAAAAAGCACACACAGTTAGAAAGCATCAGGACGGAAGGACACACTAAATGTCTCATGTCAAGCCCTGACACACTCTTGTTCTTTTGACACACACACACACACACACACACACACACACACACACACACACACACACACACACACACACACACACACCTGTTTCCTTAGGTTGTTCATGACTGCCATGATACCGGACAGCTGTCTGTATTCCTCCTTGATGGCACACTTCCTCTCGCTCCTCTTCTTGGCGCCTGGCGACTTCTCTGGAGAGGCCACCCCCGTCATGTCAGCCAGATTAATGTGATCTGTTCTATGAAATGTAAACTCTTTCTGCACCACGGCCAGCAGTGTGTGTCGTTGCAGCCTCTTTGTTGTCGCTCAGCAACTGATTAGCAGGAAGCTTGTTGTTTTTAAATAAACTAAAAAAGCCGAAATGTGTCAACAGCTTCGACTCTTAGAGATAAAATCATAAAACATAACTTTCTGTAGATACAAAATGATAAACATAGTATATTTGTTAAGCTACAGCTGCAGACTTTAGCTTGGGTTGTGGATGTTCTTCTTCTTCTACGGTTTGTGCTTTGGTTGAAGATGCTCGCCTTCGCCCCCTACCGTCAGATGTGAGAATGTACACTTTCACCTGCAGGATTGCGGAACTGATTTGTTCATCAATTAAAATATATTTTATTTTATTTTAGCGGGCATTGTTGGGTTTTCACAACAAAAATACTCAGAGCTATTCAAGCCCTTGGAAAGACACATTTTAGATATCCAAGGATCTAAAACAGCCAATAGCAACAACAGCAGAGTTGTGTTGTTGATCTCGCTACAGCTCACCTGTAGGTGCACCTGTCTGACATGCTCATATCTGTGCACTTCTCCACTAATCATAACCAGGAAGAAAAGTTTTATAGAGTCGCGTGACGTTGGCGTCAGTTGGTATGTGCAGACTCCAAATGCATTGTCAGAAATTACTGACCTGAAATCAAATTGAGAGACCCCAGAGCTGCAGGAAAATGCTCCGTTTTCTCTGCTGTTGCTTCTCAAGTGGAGACTCCGCCGACGAGGTTCGTGTTTATTGACTTTTATGTAAATGTTAATGCCTCCTATTCGAGTTCAAACGATTCACTTGATCATTGTTTTGCTGTTGTGAGATTAATAGTTTGAACTATTACTACTTTTAATGTTAAAATGATGGGGACTACTCCCTTTATAAAGATGTTATGCTTTAAATAATAATGTATTGTATATAATTGTCATTGGATATTCCATGTTAAAGTATTTTCATGGTGTATCACAAGACTAGAAGACTCATTTTCAAAAGCAACCAATCTTAAATAATGTAATCGTAAATCATGCATGTCTCCCTGCACAAATACAATGTAATAAACAACAACAAGTGTTAGCCTGTTCTTTCTCTCATAATAATAATAATAATAATAATAAAGGTATATTTTAAAATCGTGAAGACATTCATTATTGTCCCAATAAAATACATTTGCCACTATTATTTAGATTTTTTTTCACACATAAATTGATATTGTCCCATCCCTTTATACAATAGAACTTGAATGTATAATAATGTCTCAATGATTAATAAAGTAGGAAACACATTTTTATATATATATTTGTTTTCCTCCAAAACATTGGTTGGTGCATTGAGTTGATAACAAAGTCATTACAAGTGTCCAGCCTTATTAGTGCTTTGTGTGTCTTTCTAAAAAGTGCCAGTAAAATAAATGTTATGTAAAGAAAGCGACTCTGCTTTATATTTTAGAGACAGCCTCTCCTGCACCCTGGACCATCGGACCTGAATGAAGCTGGATCAGCCAGGCAGAGCCGGTCAGCACACAGTGGTACATTTCTTTCAGACCTTTACACTTCCAATGCATAAAACTATAAGTGAACTGGAACCACATGTGTTCTTTTCTGTGTGTCTGTGCCTGATGTGTGACACTCTTTTCCCTCCAGATGCACAGACCGTAAAGCGGATTGGCAGGCTGGTGATGAGGCGAGTGTGTGTGCCAGAGTTGGACCAGAGGTTTTCTGACATGGCAGAGACTTTCAATGAACAGCACGAGCGATATGAGGCCATGGTCCGAAATATCAGAAACCTGCGCCAGAGCTACAGCTGTAACCACAATGATACCCTGGCTTTAACCGAATGTGTGGGGATGATCAGAGATGAGCACGGTAAGTGACACACTCCCTGCAAGTGGAGGAAACTTGATGGCAGATTTCCCTTGCTTCGGTTTTCTTGCTTTCTGTATTTTAATCTCCATTACTCTCCACTTCCAGAGGCCAAGTACAGGGTCTCACTTCAGATAAAGGGATACGAATTTTCCCTAAATGTGGTTCGTGTGGATGAAAGTGATGAAGAACCACTGCCTCCACATTTGCAATTTGCTCAGAATGAAGTGAAGGGCATTTCGGCGAGTGCCAAAGCCACCATCTCAAAGGGCACCACACTTCAAGAGTTGATTGGCTGGCTGCTCCGTAGCAAGGATCAAATGGCTGAACAAGTGAAGGGGGCTGCAGCAACTTACCAGGAGCATGGCAGGCTGAGTGAGAACCTGGAGGAGAACCTGAAAGAAGTGAGGAGGGCGAAGGAGTTTGCACTAGGATACAGACAACGGGCCGGGGAGGTCTTCACTGAGGCTGCACAGATAGCAGGGGCTTATCTTTAATGTTTCTTTTTAGATGTCCACTTTAAATCCACCATTTACACAACATTTACAGGATTTAATACAATAAGGCACACACAGAACAGCATGCATTTAAATAATCAAAGTCTTTGCTTTGCAGCATCTTGCATCACCTTTATTATCAGTACACAGAGTTTTACAATGATATCTTTTTTTAAATGTTTTATAACTTTTGTATAAACAGTCTCTGGTTTTGGAGACTTATTTTTATATTTAAATGATGATGTCTGTAGAATGACTTACATTATTTTCCTTGCAGGGTGTAATCTTACCCACTAACATTAGGTGGCATTGCAGAATCACTTTACATTTCTAAAGGTTGCACCTCAATTTATATTCCTCCAATTATTTTGTTTCTCTAAAATGCACTACATGAATGTAAATTCCCAATATTCCAATACCAATAAAAAACCTATATTACACACTTTGTAGACTTTTTTACCTGATTAGACACTTGAATTTGCAACATTTGGGGCGGCAAGGAGAGATTGTTCTTTGGCTTTTCTAAAACAGGATAATTGTGAGTGTGACTTGCATACAGGATTATACATCTCTTCTATAATGTACAAAGGACAGCACAGAGTGCCCCACAGATGCAATGGCAATAGGACATGAGGCAGATTTCCTGATTATTATCCAAAAAAGCCCATGTATTTATAAACTGATTAAAACCCAGCTTTCCATCTGTTATTTGCATGAAAACACAGGGTCATATGCCATCTTGATAATTAATTTTGGAAAATCCATTGTTCTAGAGGTCATTGTCAAGTGGTCATGCATTATTTATCCGTCAGAGACATTTTTAGAGTCGTGCTTTTGCCATAATCTTTACAGGTTTATTTTTCATGAAATGTGTGCAGGATGGTTTGCTCATTTCTGAGAAAGTTTGGAAGTTAAAATGTAATAAAAACATAATTATATGTGTTTATTAAAAACAAATATAAGTATGACCATAATGACTTTGATTCCATGTTTGTTCGATGCAATGCTTTTTTAAATGTTACAAATTATGTTTACAGTTTAAATCTAAATAATATATTTTAATTAAACTAATTGAATACATGTATTGACTAATCATTTCTCAGCTGCAATGTATATGATTCGGTATAATGATTTGTTCTTACAATAATTCTATAGTAAAACATGTCAATAAATAACTTTTTTGGTGATCAATAAAAGCATCAGTGGAAGATAATTGCTGTCAAAGAGCAGTGACTGACAGCGACAACCTACCTCGGTGGTGGAAATTATTAACATGCCTCCTAGAGTCTAATTTGATTGGATGCTGCATTTGGGGGTTGTGGCGACTGGATCATATACCACTCACCCATTGGTTTAGACGTCTGTCACTCCGTGGAGACCGAGTCTCCTAGTCTAAGGTAGTCTGAGTGGAGAAAGTAATGAAGATGGAAGGAGCTGATGTTGATGAATTATTGAGGAGATTTATTGAGTAGCGAAGTGATATCCTTTTACTTGTCTTGTTGGAACGACAGAGGACAGCGACACCAGGAAATTGACAAGATAGCATGCCCGTAAGTAAACAGTAACTTCCACAGTTTACTTGGTGTCGCGCCTTAGCCGAGCTAGCTAACTAGCTAATCTACAAGCAACCGTGGTGACAGCTCGAAGTCATTCAGCGAGCCGAGACAGAGAGAGTGTGACCGCGGAGGATTAATGTACAGTCTCTGCCTGATATCGGTGAACAAATAGACTGAATCATTCGTGGGGAAACGCTGATGTTGGCCATTGAGCTACCAGAGCCTTTAGACAGTATTTCACGTTGTTTAAACGCAAGTCGTGGTCCCAGTTTTCTTTGTAGCTGGTTTGTAACTAGCTGGTTAGCAGTGCCTGGGAACAAACTATTCTTACTATTTAAATTAGCTAGATAACATGAAATGAATAAACAGTCATGGTTGGAAGGTGTTCCAGTGTGTTTAGCTAACGTGCTTTTCATTGCACCTGTGTTGTTACAGTAGTCACAGGCAGACTTTGTACCTGACTTCATTAACAGCTCTATGTGTGTGTGTGGTCTATCAGGACCTAGTTAGGATATTTCCTCAGATGATTCCACTGTGTGTGTGGCAGGGGCACAGACACCACTGGAATGTTAGATGATTCATTGTAGGATTTTTATAATAGTGATCATGTGATGGTGTCTTTCCTCTTTTCATTCAGCCAGTTAGGGGTTTCCTCCTGTACAATGGGGACTTTGCCGCAGAGCCTAGAGCCATGAAAAGATGTCCTTGACTACTGAACTTGGTCTCAAAAGTTGAAAAATTACAATCTGTGGCCTTCACAAACGAGGGCTGCTTTTCTGGTGTTGTGTACAGATATTGTCTAAATAATAAGATACTGTTTAAATCCTAATATAGAGACTTTTCTTTCCATAGCTGTATGTTCCATGCATGTTTCAGTGTGTTTTCCTTGTCAAGAGAGGTTTGTCCTTAAGCAATAAACACGGGTTTGTTGAGTGGGTATTTGTGCACTGTTAAAGTGGTGTCATTAGGATGTGAATGTGTGTCCGTGCACGCGTTAAAAGCATGCACAGGCTTGTTATTATGTGGTATTCAGTTGCTGCTGGTGTCTTAGACCTCCTAATGCTTTCTGACAGTTAGACCCAGCTGGTCATAGAGCAGAAAGATAGCCCAGGCTCTGTTGTCAACCAGCATCACAGCTAGAGTCATCCATGCCTGCGGTTTCATGAAATATCCTGACAATATTTAGCAGGCATAGATACCAAATGTAGATGTAGCATACTTTTAGATCCATTGGAAATCAAGCAAATCATCTTAATCATAAGTAGTATTTAAATGTGAACTCCATGGGCTGAACATGAATAGATTATGAGAGAGTTTTACAACTGTGGGGAAAAGAGCTGGGACCAAAGGTGATAAAAGCTAGCGTTAAAGTTGGAAAATCAGTGATGAAGATCGTCATTGGTCTCTTCAGGCACACTTGCCACAAGAAGACAGGGAATTGAAAGAGGGAGAGGAAGGATAAAGATACATCGGAGAAAGTAGCGTATAGGAAGCTTTAAGAGGATTCCTCCTTGTTGTATCTCTGTCATCCTCAGCAATAACAACTGTGTGTAAAAGATGAGAAAACAAGAAAGCAGAACTGCCCCCCTTCTTTTAATCTATACGCAACCTGGTGGCAAAGCGATGATGCAACAGGGTTATCCGCATGCTAAAATAGTCAAAATAAACAACAGATTACAACAGTCAGACATAATTGACAAAGATGTGATATGAATCAAATGGAGAGGTCAAAACAAACTTCCACAGTCCTAGGAGTACAAAAAACGGTGGTGAAAGCTCTCAACGTGGCCGGATGAGTTCAGGTGAAGCGTTGAACTCTGGGCTTGTTAAAGGCACTGCTCTTTATGACCACGGTTATTTAACCCTGCAGCCACCACCTTTTAAATTGACCCCCAACAGCTCCTCAAAATAGTGTCTTCACAGCTTTTGCTTCCATTCAAGTGAAAACAAGCTAGGAGTCACTGGTCCAGCTTGTTGACAGTTACTGACCTAGTTTGTAACATTTGGGCGGAGTCTAGTTGCTCTAGTTCCTGGTTTAGACATTGTTTGTGCACTCAAACACGTTATAAGTGGTTTGGGTGTGTCTGATGATACATAATGTAGTTATGGATACTTTCAGATAATTTGATCTATGTTTCTGTTCCTCTTTCTGTAGCTTTAATTCGTTGAAGGCTTAGTCATTTAGGTGTCATCGTCATAAACAGGCTACCCATTAGTTTGTGTGGTTTGCACCCTGTACCACAGGAAAAAGCAGCTGGGGCGGCTCTGTCACTCTTAAAACCACCCACTTAGTCTCTCTCTCTGCTTCCTTTATTTCCTCTATTCAAGCCTTCACTCTTATTGGTCCCCTTACTTCCTGAGAAGCTTCCAAAGCATATGTGTAATGGGAAGTGAGGTAATCAGCAGGGAGGGGTGTGTGTATGTGTGTGTGGGTGTCCCCTCATTCATTCTCGCTTGAATCTCGGAGTTCTGCACCAGCTTTCCCAGACAGGTATGTTCTCACTTGATTATATTGAGCTCTGGAAGATACCGCTGGGGTTTTATAATGCCGATAACTTATAGTTTTTGTGTTAATTCATATGTGTACGGGGTGTTTGCCTCAGGTGTTTTACAGACACTCTGTCAAGACGAGCAAGCCCACTTACAACTAGGGTTAGGAATGTAAACTCAAAGGAAACCTGTTTGTGTTGGAATAAGTCTTTGGAAGGAGGAGTCAGAAATAATCTCATTTAGACTGCCAGTGTGTGTGTTTGTGTGTGTGAGAGTTGAGGACAGAGGCGTGGGTGTAAATTCAGAAGGAACGAGCTGTCAACTACAGCTAGCTCACAGGAACAGGTTTTTGTGGAACCAGACACTGAATAAACACACTTGCTAATACACAATTGTGCAATGTATGATGTACATTCTCACTCTTTGGTAAGTAGTTGGTCTAAATCAGAGCTTTGCATTTGGTGGAGAAATGCAGTAAGCCACTGCTAGGCTTCTAATCACATTGGTTAGATCCATATCTTGAGCCTGTTTGGATCTCAGTGTATTCCCTTATCTCCCTTATACTTGGGAAACACAGATTAAAACCTAATGAACTCTCCTCATGTTATTGACCCCTCTGTCTCTTTCCCTGTGAGTTATCCATCCCTTGGGTTGATACATCTCTCTTTACTTCCATCTTTACCTCTATTCATTTAGCCATTGATCTGTGCTCCTTTTATCCGACTGCACTGCCTTTCTGTTCCTCTCCTCCATCTACTTTTTCATCACTTTATTGGTTTGTTACCACTTAGCCACTTATCCTCAACGCTGGTGTGTTTTTCTGCTGCCCAGGAGAAGCTTAACACCTGCTGCTTCCTTTTGAAATGTGCTCTCGTTGGCTCATATTGATTTCTGTCACGACCTGTGAGTCCATAATGACTTGGAGATGGCGGCTAACAGTTAGCAAGACCAAGAAGGGAGACAATCATCTGCCTAATACCATGATTAGCTTCATGGTGTCCTCTCAGGCCAATTAGTTTGCTACTTCCCTCCATCAGTTGCTTGTGCCTGCGTGCAGGATGTCAATAGAGCCTTGAAAAGGGCATGTTGTCCTTTATTTAGTTCAACCCTGTCTGTTGTGGTTTGAAAGAAGTTTCAAGGTGAATCATCTGCATTTAAGAGGTGAACAGTTACATTTAAGGTGGGGAGGATGTGATAGGATTTATTCGTTTTTTATGTTATTGATAAAAAGTTGTGTAAGGACAGATTCACATAAAAAGATTTGTTAAAAACAATGAATCAAATATCACGGATGCAGATGACCTAAACTTTGATTTTCATGGAGAATGTACGTTAGAGGGCGTAGGACCAGAAACGTTTTTTAAGCTTCTTCTTGCCCCTTTTGAACATGACAGAAACTATTTGAGAATTAATTTTTTTATACCTTGAACGTTTTTTTATTTTGCTTCTCTTTGTTATAATTATAATTATTGTTTGTTTTGTTTCTAACATGTTCAATAAATTGACTAATAATAATTATAAAAAAAACATGCAAGCCTAGCTGCAGTCAATGTTGTCTTAACTGTTTAACTGATTTATTCATTAATCTGTCAAAATTCTTATTGTCAATTGAACAGTTAATGAATAACATCCCCATTCAACTCATTTATGATCAATTTGGCTAAATGTTTATGTTATTTAAAAAATGTAGCAATTGGAAACAAGTGTTAGTTACAGTCTTACTTTAGTTGGCACCGAATCTTTTTTAATGTTCAGCCAATTTAACTATTCCCTTGTAAGGTGTACTTGATCAACTTTATTTAGTTTTCAAAGTTTCAATACACTGACATAGCCACATCTCGTTACCTCGCTCTTCCGCTGCTGCTTTGTGCAGTTGATTCTTAGCTGGCTGCTGAAGTAGGAGGCACAAATACCACATTTAGGTATTCCTCTGCTGATTTAAGTACAGATGGCATGCCCCAGGTGTCAGGGTGGACACACTTAACTGAGTTAAAGTGACTTTGTAGGAGGAGAGCCATTCCTCTTACCTCATCTGCGCTCTAATCACAGCCTTTATTTTGTCACTCAGTGAGCCTGCCATTAAAACCACATGCTGGCTTTAGATATCCCTGTCCTCCTTCTCTTCACCGGCACGGAACAATAGAACAACAGAAAGGACTAATTTCTCTAAATGGAGGCTATTCTGCTTTATAATCCTTCCCCATTTCACGAGTCACTCGCTTCCCTCCCCCCCCTGTCATTTCTGACATTGGTACAGTCCATAAATAGACACCTGGCTGCCATAGAGAGACTGTAACCAGAATAATACAGAATCAAGCATTTGGATGTGTCAAAGACAGATTACAGAATGGAAAAGACATGGAGGGAGTACTGTTGCTGTGTGGGAGTATAAACAGAGGGACAGAGAGAGAAAAGCAGGGAGCAGAAAGGAAGAGAGGAACTGTGAACACATTTGTCTATTTTTTGTTCAGGCACGCATTGCATGCAGGCTTTTTGATGATAAACATGGTGATTGAAAATCAGTCCTGTGTAATCTCCTGAATCTGTACGCTGGTCTATTGCTTTGAAATCACCTTCAGAACAGGGTTCATTATATTTTCTTTTAGAAGGGTTATTGCTTTTGAAGAGGAGATTGTGTCTGTCATACATTAAGTGAAGTGTTGGAAGTGGAAGAATATTAAAAAGGTGGAACTAAGCCACCTTCAGCTCAAATTGGACCACATGTTTCTGCATAACCAATATGCACATAGAAGGACTTCTTCCTACTGCTTTCCTTTCTCCGATTTTGTTACCAGACATACCAAACATGGACTTTGTTTCTGCATTCCACGGCCAATTTAGCCTTGTGCTTACACTTTCAGAGCACAGTCACGACCGATCGCAGACACGTGAAAACATAGTGCTGATGGAAAACAGATCATCCATCAGAGATGCAGACGGTGTCCTCCTTCCTCAGCCGAAAGCAGACGTCTTACGATGGCGATCACAATGCAGATAGTCAAGGTTACCTAGAGACATAGAAAGACCAGGACTCCAACTACTAATTATCTCGTATACCAATCAGCACCTCTCTTTTATTTCATAGATTGATTTATTGTTTGATCTGAGTTAAGTCTATACAGCTGTTGCATTTTTTTCAACAGCCAGATTGAGCGTTTTAAATGTGAATACATATTGATGGCATTATCTGTGTCTGACTTGAACAGCCACAAAAGAAAAACTACTCTTGAGTCGTCGTCATGCCTACATTGTTGTGGATGTTTTTGACATCTTGGTATAAATTCCCCGTCTTACATATTTCTTTCTGTTGCTGTAGCTATTATTCGCTTCTCCGTACTCTCGTCTGCTGCAGCACAGCAGTGTCTCATAGGCAGCAGCAAACGCTTTCTTTCAACGCACAGATGAAGAATTTAAATCACTTTGACAGCAAGAACATAAGGAAAAGGAGAAATAATAGCGAGGTTTAATAGCAACGCTACAGGCAAACAAGGTGAGTGGCTAAAAGATGAAAGAGAGGAGTTAAAATGCAGACAGTGTAAGTGCTGTGATGGATGGTAAGGCCTCCCAAAAATAACAAGGGGGTGGGGAGAGATGGAGGGAGGTGTTTATTTCACCATGAGTACATTTTAGCTAAAGCTTTTTTTGTCTGTCTGTTTTAAGAAATGGAGATGTACAGCCAGTTGAACACGCTTCTAAATTCAGCTGTGCCACTTTTATTTGTACAGTAATTCACCAGTGAAGCCAGCAAGGTTCCTATGTGTGGGTGATTTTTTTCGATTTGATCAAGTTTAGAATAGGCTGGTACTGCAGAGGTGTGTGTCTGGAGAGGGAAGAGAGGGGAGAGCGAGAGGGGAGGACAGACTTATGACACTTTGGAGAATTCAATTGATGCCTGCAGCACTTTCACAACTGCACTGGCACTGACTGTTTACCGACATTTTTATCAGGATACCAAATAATCGAAGCTTGGTTGCAAGACGTGAATGCTTGTGTGTGTGTGTGTGTATATGCCCTTTCGAATGCACAAAATATTTGCTGTGTGTCAATAATCATGCAGTGTGTGTTTTTATACAATATACATTTTTCCCATAGGTTGAGGTGACGCCACTGCAGATGAGGGAACATGTTGGCGATGGACCAAGGAGTGGTGGAGGAATGGCTGTCAGAATATAAGGTACTGCTTCAGTGTGTGTGTGTGTGTGAAAAACAACTTAAAGCACATAGCCCTTATTTGTGTGGTATGCTGCTTATTATTGGCAACATTTCTTCCACACATCTAAAAAAACCTACTCTGAAGTGCTTTTCTCCAAGGAAATAGCTTTTTCTCCTCCTCGCACATGAGCACTCAGCAATATGTTGAGTGCTACCAAAGCTCAGTGAGATGTGGTGATAAAGGGGCAGAAGGGAACTTCCTGTTTAATCGTACGAGGACCTACCTGTTTCCCTCTCTGAGTGAAAATGATCTCTAAATGCAACTTTTGATATGACTGAAGATATCACTGTCTGTCAATGCAGGGTTTAGATGCTCTCAAATATCAAACCGAATGTATTTCTATATTGCTGAACTCCTCTTGATATCACTTCTGTTTCATTCACCTGTAACCATAATATTGTGCAGATTTTTTTTATTAAGAATAATATTTGTGTACTTGCTGTAAATCAGCGGTTAAGTGTCACATTTAAACTGATCAAAACATTTTTTCAGTCCTCTCTTTTTAACTTGTCATGCTGGGTGTTTATTTTAAGGATCAGTCAGTTAGTGTATCAAACTTTCAGCTAAGTGTGTGTGTGTGTGTGTGTTTTTCAGACCCTCCCTGACAATGCTGTGTCCAATTATGCTGCATCACTAAAAGACAAAGGTGCCTTGGTCCCTGCACTCTACAAGGTCATGCGAGAGAACTACAGCGATGTATGAACACACACTCTAAAGTTAACACAACGATTAACAATACATTTGTTTCATGTTACCACTTACCTGTCATTTGCATATTTCTTCACATAATCTTGACATATTGTAAAAACCATAGATGCAACATGTATTACAGTCACAGTGGCAGTTAATACTTATTTTTGGCATGATTTTCTTTTTGGCTTGCCTTCCTCCCCAGTTGCTGGAGCCAGTGTGTCACCAGTTGTTTGAGTTTTACCGGAGCGGAGAGCCGCAGCTGCAACGCTTCACACTGCAGTTTCTGCCAGAGCTCCTGTGGAGCCTCCTGTCCGTCAGCGCAGCCAGAGACCCCCACACGTCCGGCTGCATCGAGGCCCTGCTGCTGGGCATTTACAACCTGGTAGGGGAGAGGGTGGAGCTGGTGTTTTCAAAACACACAACTGATCTGTTTATTGATGACCAGTAGAGTATCTCTTTTAAATAGCAATATATTTGAGTGTGATGAGGGAGAGGTAAGGAAAAGTTCCTGGATCCTTAGCAAGTGGGTGTAATCATGCAGTTCAAGAAGTAGGGGGCTAAACCGCTCAACTATTTCTGGGAGCTGAGTCATGTGTTTTGAAAGATTCCATTATGCACTTTCTGCTGCATGGAGAGCGACAGGAAAGATGGTTTGGAAATAGAGGAAATGAAACCCAGTGACTACAGATTAGGGATGAATTGCACCTAACAAATGTCCTTTCCAAACAAACAGAGATGCCAGCACTAGAAATGATTTAAGTGTGATGAGTCTTATTTCATCCATTTAAGCTCTTGATGTTTTATCTATCAGCAAAGTGCAGTGTCCTCTAACTTCCTGTCTGAATAGCAGAATAGGTCAGCTGTCACTCAACACAGTTGGCTCCCATTAATGTATTTGACATTAACGTGCACACCAGGGACACCAAAACCCCAGGGTGTGTGCGTGTGTGTTCACTCACAAACACACAAATAAGAAAACGCACATACACTGGCAGACTGATTTGGGAAATACACAAACACCCACACATAACAGATGAGGGTGCTTAAAGAGACAAGCACACACTCTTTAGAGGTTTAGGGCACACACAAAATAAGCTACTGTTATTTCTCGCCCACAGGAACACTTTCTCATTGTCTTCCTGTCTTTCTCTTTCACAGGAAATAGTTGATAAGGATGGACAAAGTAAAATATTATCTTTTACTGTCCCTTCCCTCTCCAAACCCTCAGTGTACCATGAGGTGAGAAAAGCTAAAATGCACACGCATATTTTAATTTCCTTTTGCAGTTTAAAATGATATATTTTCTTCATCTTTCCAACCCCAGCCTTCAGCCATTGGCTCCATTGCCCTCACAGAAGGGGCTTTAGCCAACCACGGGCTGAGCAGGGTGGTGTACAGCGGGCCACACCTCCAGAGAGAGAACTTCACCGCACAGAACAGGTGAGAGGGGTGATGGGGGGGCTCTTATTTTAAAGTCTGCTGGTCGAGTAGTGACCTGTCAGCATGGGGGAGGTTGTGCATGTTTTAAAAAGGGCTTTTCAGGTTGCAGCCTGCCTGCTTAGAATTGGCAGCAAACACCAGACAACAACAAAAATAGAAATGCCCATGCAGAAGGTTGAACAATCTCACAAAGCAGCACTTAGGAATTCAGCAACTAAATCCTAAAATGTAAGTTTCTTTACTTTTTTATTTCAAGACATTTATTTCTTCTATTGTGAGCATAAGTCTGTCCAAACGTTATTCTATAACGTGAGTGAATTGCACTTTGAACAACTGTCATGACTAGTGAAGTTTTCCATTTATTCAAGGGTTTTGATTTATGTTTGGCAGTGGGCGAGGGGGATGGAGATGGGGGGTGGGGTTGTTTTTTGCAGAGAAAAAAACGGTTTCTCACTAACGGTGTGAACTTAATTCACAAGTCAAGAAACATAGGATTGAGGAACCGGCTAGACATTCAGTTTTGGATGCTGTCAAAGGGAAGATGAGTTGAGACACAAATCTATCATTTTGACTTTTAATGGGAATTTAGTCCAACAATCTCTCCTCCAGTCTCCAGGGGAAACTTCATTGATTTCACATTTCAGAATCTGTTTACAGCTTTTGGGGAGTTAGTATTAGTTCCTATGTGGGGGGGGGAAAAAGTATTTTGTGAGGCAGCTGTGCAAAAAATGAAAAATTGCCTGACTTAAATTGATGGACTGAAGATAGAAATTCTGGAGCTGTGGATTTAGAAAGATGGGCTCTTATGAAATCTGTAGCAGAACACACCCATTTCTCTGAACTGCTGGCAGCTGAGTTGCACTCTGGGTAATAAAGATGCCACGTTTTGACAAGGAATATCATGAAATATAAAGACGATATCTTTGGTTGTGCCAGTGTGGTGTACTGCTTTTGAAATCATTAAATCTTGTTATGTCTTTTTTTTTTATCTACTGCATGCATGGAAGCGTAACTGAGTCTGTGGATTTCTGATCTGAAAAATTAAAAATGTTGTGTTATATGTCATGATGTAATGATGGCGGGCTATTTTAAGGTTTTGTTTTGATTATGCAGATTTGAGGTGCTGACCTTCCTGCTGCTGTGCTACAACGCTGCTCTTAGCTACATGACCGCCACCTCCCTCCAGTCCCTCTGCCAGCTCAGCTCCAGGTAACACACACACACACACACACACACACACACACACACACACACATACACACACACACACACACACGGACACACTCTTTGTACCTGAGGACACTTAAAATACACGTTCTAATTTCATACAATGTGTCATTTTCTTGATAGTGAACATTTTTGTGAAGTTTACTTGAATAAGGCTACACACACACACACGGACGCTATTTTGCAAGCACTAGCTTATCTGATCCTCTTATAGACTTTGCTGCCGGAGAGAGCCAAGATACCACTATTAGGCAAATAGCTGCGTTGTACACACATCCCAGCTCAGAGTTTTTGATACTCTTCCAACTTTAGCTGAGCATTGCGCTAATAAGCACCGAGCTAAAGAGAAGTTATCAGCGTTCGTTTCCCTGTGACCCTTTTCTGTGTGTCAGCTGTTCCTCAAATGTGGACAATATAATATAACTGCACTTATCCCTTTTTAAATGTGCAGGCGTTACCTCAGTTTGAGCTTAATCCTCTTTGTTGCAACTTGTATGATACCTGTTCAGCACTTTTAAATCTTGTTGTTGATGTCGTAAACCGTTATTAACTCATTATGTATCATGTATGCTCTGTTGGTGTGTGTATTGGTTTCGAATGAGTGTGGGCATGTGTAGTACTGTCTTGATATTACATTATCAGCGTGACACCTATAGAAAAGAAAAAATGTTTTCAATTAAATCATTTTTAACTTTAACTCTTTTTGGCAAATTGATTGCTCTCAAATCAGCAATGTAGGAAGTCAAAGAGAGTCTGTGTGTGTCTGTGTACCTGTGTGTGTGCCTGTGTGTGTTCATATCCAGCTATTATTTGCTCATCAGCTCACTACAGGGAAGCAAATTGCCTTAATGGAGCTGCAGCCAAGTGGCTCAGTGGGGTGGTGTCCCTGATTTAAGCTCCCCTGTTTCACTGATCCCCTTTTGTGTTTTTATCTTTTATCCTCCAGGGTTTGTATATGTGGTTACCCACGGCAACAGCTTCGGCGCTACAAAGGCATTAGCACGCGTCTGACAGTCACGTCAGAGTTCCTGGTTCAGCTCATCACAGGGATACACTACGCCTTGTGAGTGTACACACATGCCTGCACAAACAGCCAGATGAACACAACACTGACTCACTGCTGCCAATACTCAGAGTTTAAAGAGGTCCTATTATGATTTTTCTGGGTTTTCCATTTCCTGTAGGTTTATGTGCATGTAAATGGTCTGCAAGGACTAAACTTCAAAAGTTCGCTCTGGAGGGATGACAATATTTAATATGTCGTCATAACAGTATTTCATTTGTTGTAATTATGCTCCAAAAACCTGGATAACAGAAGTTGGACTGACAATCATTGCGCCTGCTCACTTTGTATTTTCAGTGTTTCTACATATTACATTGCTGTATTGCATTTTTTAAATGTCTTGACATCTTTATCACAAAATGATATAGGTAGCACATTGATGTTCACAAGCTTGCAGTCTTGTTCCCTGCCTTTGCTTCTTATTGCTGCACCGCCTGTTGAGCTCTTAAATGTTGTGACATCATTGCTACGACTGTGTTTAATTTGCGCAGTCGATTGGCACACGATAAACAAAACAGGGACCCACTCAGAAACTCTCCATTGAGCTACTAGAGGTTTAATATAACCTAGGGACCCTTTGATCTGTATCTTAAACTGTTAATGTGTGGTGCCTGTGTATAGGTGTAGTGGGGAGGTTGACCTTGGATCCAAAGCACTGGATGACGTTCTGTATCGGGCCCAGCTAGAGTTACTGCCTGAAGCTCTGTTGGTGAGTACACTTGTGGTTTTCTTCTTCTCCTTGCACATCCTCCCTTCTGTGTCTGTGGTTATGGACCTCTAGAGTGTGTGTTTGTGTGTGTGTGTGTGTTTGTGTGTGCTTTTGTCTGAGACTGAGCATGTGATTCCGACGCACATGTCCGCCTGTGGTTTTGACTCATGCACAGCACACTATGCTGTATTGTGTCGGTTCCTGTGTGTGTCAGAGACTGCAAGCAGAATCTAATCCCACTAGATTATTTACATGCTTTCCGCTCTGCTCCGTTAAGCTATAATCTGTGAGGCCCGGGGAGTACAGGGTTGAACGTAAGCTCACAGCAATACTACACAAGTCAAGGTGTGCTCCTCCGCAACAATCAAAACACAAAACCTTTGGTTTTCATATTAATAAAATACATATTAATTTTCATTAAAAAAAAAGTTTAGACTCATGCCATGAACACAGTATGGCTGTTTGATATGATGAAAAACGTGCAATAAAGTAATTGAAATGCAACAAATTGCTTCTTAAAGGTGGGGTAGGTAATTCACTTCAGAAACACTTAACATCCAGATAGCAATGAATACATTAAATGCTTTGACAATAAATACATTAAAAAAATGTCATCTGTGGAAGCCGTGGCGCTGTAAAAAGCACGACCAATCATCTGAGCCGGCCCGGGTAAAATAACTGGATGGCCTACCTGCCTGTCAGCCTTACAGCCTTACTTATCTCGTGCCCTCATTGGTCATGTGCGCGTTCGTGTGTGTTGGAGGAGGGGCTCTTTTAAGGATTGAAGTCTGAAGGAAGGGGCAGATTTTCTTCGGCTGCGTACTTTCAAATTCTAGCGCACTCGAGCTGGTTTCTCCATTCTTACCTACCCTACCTTTAATTAAAGAAAATGTAAAAAGGAAATTATTCAAAACATTATTTTATGGAACAAATTAAACAAAAAAGGCACTTATAGTAAAAAAAATTATGTGAATAACATGTTGAAGGGACATTTAGTACTGGTAATTGACATTGCGATGACTGTAAAGAAACTATATGTTGTACAGCAGTAACACACTCACCCTAGTGTGGAAGGATTACATATTTAGAATTTTGTCCAGTGCGTTAACTTGTTGCCGTGGTGTGGCTGTTACGTTAGCTTAGCTCAGTGACGTGCCCCTCATGAGACCAATGTGTTTCAGCCTCGCACACAAAGACATGTTGTACGGTGATTATAAAGCCCTGTGTAATGTTTCCTACTCAACTGTTACATGATCAAGTGCCACTTGATAACTTCCACCAACAGAAGAAATCATTATAGAAATTGTTAAATGGGGTTGTATACAGCGAAATACAAAGCCTTTCTGTTTTTCTGAGGTTTAAGGTTTATCCCTTTGCATTAATCTGGTGGAAATTGGATATTTGATCAGATGTTATTGGTTTGGTCACATGATCTTAACCTCAGGCTGATTTCAGAGCATCTTATTTCTTGGTAATGCTGCTCTCACAGGGATTGTTTACCATACCAGTGACTGTACTGTACTTTGTTTTTTAGTATATTTAGGTTTTCACTGACGCAAGCTGACTGAAATATGTTTTTCTAAACATTGCAGTACACCCTTAATAGTAAGCATTGTAAGAATGTTTTCAAAATAACCTTTTACCTTTTTAATTATAGCACAGGGTAGGCAAGGGCAAACGGAGAGAGGCAGCGGCCTGTGGGTGGAATCTGACCTGTGGCAAAAGTCCACAGGTCAGATTCCACCCTGCAGGCCGCTGCCAAGGACTTAGCCATCGTACATGAGGCCAATACAAACTGATTCGTTGTCAAATCTAACCAATAAGACCTTCAAATAATGTAATCAGCAATTACAAGACTATATTTGAAACCCTGTAAACTCATTTCACATGAATGCCACGGGGTAAGAAATTGAAACTGAAAAGTCAATTTGGGTTATGACGTCAGCTCCACACATGTGGTGTGTGGTTAGAAGTATCACGACAGACAATAAGTTGACCTTTAGTAGCATGGAGACACTAAATCAACAGGATTACCAGGTAACATTTGATAAAAACACGTTGTGCCAGCTGCTGTACTCTGTGTGCCAGTTCCTCTCTGGCAGATGGCCACGGGGAAATCCTCCAGGAAAAGTCTGGCCTCCTCTGAAGCAGCAATGTTTGTGTTTCTCTTTTTGCCATCAGGTGGGCAATGCCATCAAGTCGTCACTGCACGGCGCTGCACTTAAAAGCAACAACAAGGAGGGGGCACGCAGTATCCAGGTGGAGATCACGCCCACCTCCTCCAGGATCTCCCGAAATGCTGTCACCTCCCTCTCTATCAGGGGACACCGCTGGAAGAGACACGGTATGACAAAAAGGCTAATTGAGATGCTGTGTGAGAGTACAGAGAAGAGCTCTCACACACACTTTTTAAAATCATCAAATGTTATAATCACTTTATAGAAAAGAAAACAGTTGAGTGATTTAAGAACAAATCCACACCAAAGGAGAGGGCAAGAGGTTTATAACTCTTCATTGTTCACCCACTACCATTTCATGTCCTACAGTCACTGTGTACATAAGTGTTGTTGTTGTTGTCCTCATCAGTGTCTGAGCCTGTAGAGCACTCGGCTCACTAGCTACTGCTGTCCACCTTCTTTTTAGATTCATCATCATTCAAAGCTATCACTTCCTGTCTAATCTGCAAACCAATTTTCACAGATAGGAGAAAGAAAGGCAGGGAATCAGAGCAGGTAATGAATTGTCAGTATAAGAGAGTTGTAGTGTATAAGTAATTAAGTATTGTATATAAGCCATGCACAGTTGTGATTTAATTTCAGCTAATGGTAATTATCTGATGTCGTGAACAATGAGTTGGCGATAAATTCCCTTTTTTGTGTTTTCAAATGAATAATCTGTAGTTGTACACCTAAGGGAAAAAGGCTAAAATGTACTAAGCAGCATTTCATATTCCGTTGTTCTGACTTAATCACAATTGTTACCACAACAAAAACTATATATATGGGTAGTTCAGATATGTGGACAAGATTGCGTTTTGAGACTGATTTATAATTTAAGAGAGGGCTTCTTTCTTTTCCCAGGGTAGAGATAAGGCATGTAAATTACAGCCTTCAGCCAGTTTAATGAGTAGGTTTCATCAACAACCCTTTTCCATTGCTGCCCGTATCAGAGCTGGCTGTTTATGCGTAAATCTTTTGTTATGAGCAGACGATGGAGGGAAAACACTATTAAATATTAATTAATGTGTAAGGGCGGAGCGGAGACTCACTATGAAATTCAATTCCATTCAAGAGCTGTGTTCATATTCATCTCTATATTGCATGTACTTTTACCATGTGTTATGTTCTGATCACTATGATTTCTGTCTTTTTATTTTTCTGCCATTACATTTATTACCTCTGTTTGTGTTGTGTGACTGTGGTCATGACCGCTGTCTTTCTGTGTTTCATGTACGTGTGCATGACGCGTGTCTTTCTGTCCCATCTGTTTGTGTTTATATATGTTCGTTTTGTTACGTGTTGTCGTGCTACCCCCCCCCATACTCCCCCCACCAGAGTCCCAGGAGGCGAGTGTAGAAAGTGATGCTGCAGTGGGGGGCGTAGCCATCCCCGATATCAGTGTAACAGGTACGAGCGGCGAGCGATTGCCCAACGGAGAATCCATGCGACCACGCCTTGACGGCCGCGCCCCGCCCGACTGCGACCCGGTGGGCGGAGCCTCCGAGGTCAGCCTGGATCTGCGGGGTCAGGAGGTCAGGAGGCAGAAGTCTGTGAGGCGGATGGTGGAGAATGAGGGTTCTGGGACGGCCTCCACAGGGAGGAGCCAGTACTAAGGTCCTGCCCCTCCTTCCCCATGCCCCGCTCCCGGGGTAACCTAGGTAACCGTGTGTGGCGGTGTGGTCTGAAAAATCTGCACAATGACTTCCCTTTTTACCTTTTTTGCGCTGGGTTCTACCATCCTCCCTTCTCCTAATAGCACTATTCCTCTCATCTGTCCTTCCAACGTCACTCATTCATTCACTCTCTCCTTTGTGGCTAATGCTTCCTCACCAAGATCTCCTGCTGAGATTTTCTTAAATCTAATTAATTACCTAATTGAATGACAGATCTGTAACCTAATATGAATGCATACTACTGAAATGTGCTTGGCTGAATTTCACAATGGGGGATGTTTTTATGTTGAGCTAAATGAATTGGATCCTATTTCAAGCAGAACGTTGATTAAACACAGCATGAACACCGGTCTTTAAAGTAGTTTATTCAACATTTGTCAATGCATACAAACGACACACTTCCTGTAAATATAAAACGGCTGAAGTCTGGACATACATAACAAATGGACTGATGACCTTCAATCACAAAGCCCAGATATTAGCTCTGTGAGCTCTGCCTGCAGCAGCAGATTGTACATTGTACTCATATACTCAGATAGGCAGGTACACAGCCTAGCGTTTTACAGTGACAGCATCAGATTAAAGGTGTGTATCTCTGCATATACATGTGGTTGGCCACCCACATGTTTGTTAGTGCCATTCTTGATGCATATACAGCACAGCTATTGGCTAGTGTTTTTGAAGTGAAGCAAGTGTCTCAAGTGAAAACACTTGCACTTAGGGTTTTGGATTTGTGTCTTTGTTTTCCTTCCTCTACTCTCCCCTTGTGGTCTTTCCTAGGCGTGTGCTCTCAGACTCTGACCTCTCCTGTCTTTGGGACAAAACATGCACTCCTCTGCCAAAGCTTCTGGTTGAACTAACCTGTGTGCTGGGCTGAAATACTGAAATTGCATTTCCTGGTGGCGAGGTGTCCCTGTTAACTGTCACAGTGTGAAGGCGCCACCTGCTGGACAGTGATGGAGCTCCTCTGTCATGCAGCCCTACATACTTTGCCCCACAAGCAAAGCATTCAATTAATTTTCTTTATAAACCGTTAATTTCAATGATTTGATTGGATCAGCTGGGCTGGATGACAGATGAGATGGTTGTTTTTTCCTCTTCATGCTCCCGTTTTCATTTCTGTTCATTTCTGTCTCACAGACGCAGTGGATCTGGGTTCCCCGGATGAGCTGATGGATATTTCGGAGGTGGATGAAGGGGTGTGGCCAGGCGGGATGGGGCCGGACATGACCCCCCCCACCATCACTATTAGCAACAGTGTCACCACGTTGAATCTGGGAGCCAAGGCCATGAAGAAGTGTCGGCTGGGCGGGCGCAACAGCAAGGACAAGGAGGCAGGCTCTCTGACAACGGGCCGGGCCAACAGCGAGAATGCAGAGCTGTCCTTCAAGCGACTGACGCTCACTTCCAGCCAATCGGTGCCCAAGGCAGGAGCTCTCACCAGCCTGACCCGCACCGCCAGCGCCGTTTTCTCCCGCTCCTTCGAGCAGGTGGCCGTCGGCAACGCCCCCCCCGTCAGCAACCACACCGCCTCTGAAGTCGGCCGCTATTCATGCAGCCTGCAGGAGGATGGGCTGGGGTACTTGAGTCCGGCGCCAAACCACACGCAGCGCTCTCCTAGCATCAGCGTGCACCTTGGCTCTGACCTTTGAACCCTTAGTGACTCCTGACTACCTGATCCCTCTCAATCCGGTGACCCTGTACCTGTGAACAGGAACTCCAAGCCATGCCAACTCCCATTAGACCACAAAAGCATTTAAACACTCCCACTGGGTGTCTTGTCACTCCATTTTGATGTCTTCGGTTCTCTGTGTCTCCAGAGCAGCCTGCCGCCGTGCTCCTCTCCTGATGAAGGCGGGGGGTCAGAGATATCACTTCCTGCTTGACTGATTTTTAGCAGTGCATTGTTGCTGTGAAATCATGCCAGGACAAAACCGCACTCCGTCACAGAGCAGTCTGTCTGGGTGCACTTAAAACATATACACAACTAAAAACTGCGGAAAAGTATCTGGAAAATATTTTAATCGGCATTTGTTGCCCTGCATGGCTTTTCCATACGTCCATCCTGATATTGCCCAGGTTGGTCGGAGGGCAAATGTTAAGTATGTGTGAGTATGTTTGAGTGTGTGTACTGTATGTGTGTGTATGTTCAATTTTTAGAATAAAGGCTGCTGATTGATAAAATGAACAAGGTATGATTCTCCGAGATGAAACACATTTTTCTATTTTTTTCAAATAACAGATCCTTTTCCATAGCAATATAAATCTGTGTTTTTCATCTTTTGGGACAATTACACAACCTCTCTTCATTCTCACTTCTTTTGTAAACATCTACAACAGTGTTCCTTTTTAAAGATAATCTGCATTCTTCCTTAAAATGTCAGAAGAAATGACCACTAAATAATCAAACAGTATGATACGATTTGGGTTTTAATGTTTACAATCGCACAGTATTGTCATCATAATGGAGAAGCAATATTTGTGTCCTTCCCTCCCACTCCTCTAGCACCTTCTTGAATAGCTGTTAATTCAATGGCAGAAAAATCCAACTTCTAACAAATGACGAAGATGATTTGATGTGTATGATTTGTGAAGTATTGAAATTTTCAACTTTGGTATTTTCTTATGATGAACAAAAGAGGTTTGACTCTCAACTGTGGTATTTTCCTGTGAGAGAGATGTGCTTTGTTGCTCCGTATATATTTCTACCACCAAGACATGAAGTCCACCTACATGCACAAAGATAAAATAATCCGATGCCCCTGACTGAAGATGTTTAAAACTCGACCAAAACTGTAACTGAACCTACTCCTGTGTGTTCTGCAGTGGGAAGGTGTGTGTGGGCAACAAGGCATCTTTCCTCTTCTCTGATCCACCCACCATTCCAGCTGTTAGTAGTTATTTGGTGATGTGTTTCCTGTGTCCCTCCATCATCATCCCTTCACAAGAAATGGTGATATCTTGTACCAATAATGTAATTAAACTCCACCCATTTGTTACCTTTGATGTCCTAAATTGAGCTGCGCCTCCCTCAAGCAATATGTGTTCTGTCGTCTGTGTACTAGAGCTGTCCATAGCTTTGGGGGGACATTAACAATCATATTGTTTCTGTGTGTGGGTTTACAGGATGTTAATGGGTGAGCTCTTGTTGTACATCATACTGTTGTACTGAAGTTGGTTAAAATTGGCCTTTCTATGTCTGAATATAACTCACTGCTACATCTTCTGGGAATAAAGTGTTTCTATATTTCACTTGTGTGCTCAGTTATTACTCTTAAATGAATTGTATAATTAAAATGGTGTAAGAGGCTTTTTGATTTATCAAAATCAGGGCTACATTTGTGGCAACAGTCCACTATAATAATTGTGTTGCACTTATTAATTATTAGGGAATATATTTAAGATGTATTTATTGGATTGCAGGGGGGGGGAAACTAAGTTGGTAGTGTATGTATTTTGTTCTTTCAAACCACATATTTCACCTTGAGTCTTCAATCAAAATGAGAGAGAGAGAGAGAGTCTCACTCATCTTAATGCCAGCTTTAAGTATGTGGATTATATCAAGCAAGCAATAATGTCTCTTCATATACAGGCTAAATCGGCTTTTTTTTATTGTATAAACGTAAAGTATGCATTTCAACAAAACAGGAAATGACTAAACTAAATTCATAGTAAACTCATACACATTAGGTTAAGGGAATTCTTTAATTAAAGTGTGTCCTGGCTGCTCATATTGGGCTATAGCAGAGGCATAAATGCAACGTTTATTTCCCAAAACAAAATCATGCAATACATGGGATGTACACGGAAACATACATCACAACACCATGGGCGTCACTTTGTTAGAAAAAGTGGTGAGGACAATTTCTCCAGATTCAACATCAGCATAGCAGGAGACAGAAGATGTCCCTCCCCTGGGTGTTGAACCTCGAGCACCTGCATGACAAACCGATGCATAGATCTCTGGACCACCAATGTGTTTTTAGAACAATGAATGCCCAACTATACGTCTTGCTTTGATGTGAATTTGTACCTTTACGCACAAAACGAGCACACAGATATAGAGGACAGAACATGACATAAGTAAAAAATAAATAAATACAGGAATAAATAAATACAAGAATAAATAAATGTGAAAAAAAACTGAACTAAATAAATGTGGAAATAATTGCAGGAATAAAAGAATAAATGTGGAAATAAATACAGGAATAAGTAAACACAAGAAAAAAAGTAATACATATGGAAATAAATAAATGAATGTATAAATACAAAAATAAAAGTTGAGAATAAAACGGAACACACACATTATATATCTTTTAATGTATTTCTACATTTATTTTCACTTACATTTATATATTTATTCATTTCTGTGTCGTGTTTCACAATTTGTTGTTTTGCTTAGCTTTGTATTCTGTGGATAACAACATTTATAACATGTACTTTGACTTGCTCTGAAAGTTGCACGTGTCTTTAACAATATCTTTGAGTTGCTATCATATTTTATTTCACTTCCTCCTCAAAATATAAATCATGTTCACTCACAAAATCAGTCCTGCGAGCGAGGTCACAAAGGTTAGAAACAACGTATAAAAGCACTCTTTATAGCAGTCGCAGTTACACGTGTGTCCACTAGATGGCGACCAATGACAGAAGGACTGTCAGTTATCAGCCGGGTCCCTGCGTCACTTCCGCTTCCTTGTCCTTGGTGGTTGCAGCATCCTCGCTGTTCAGGATAAACACATGGCTAAACTGAGCAAAGAGTCCAAACAGCGGCTGCAGCAGCTGTTCCAGTGCGGCCAGTTCGTCATCCGATGGGGTTTCATCCCAACCGTGTTGTACCTCGGTCAGTATCCGAACGGGAGCAGGGGGGAGACGGCTGGATGAGGAGATGTGCCTCGCTAACATTAGCCGGTTAGCTTAGCACACTAGCCCTCAACAAGAGCTAGCTTAGTGTTTTTCTCCCCAGGTTGCGTTGGTAGTTATACGTTTAAACCAATTAAGCTAATTATTGACACCCTTTATAGGAAGTATATAAGTATAAAACATAAGACCACAGGGGTTCGAATCCCAATTTGGTTTGACTAGTAATACATGATTTGGTTCTGTATCATTCATCTAACATTAAAGGTTTGATGTCTTTGAAGTAGTTGGTAGACTTTGCGTAGCCCCCTCTGGACGAGTTATACAATGCATGTGATGTATTGCATATTGATGAGTGTCATGGTGTGTGTGAAAGTCATGATGTCATGGGAAAACTGTTGAATCTAAGCAGGGAATCTAAGCATCTCATGAATGCAAGCTGTAAACATGTTAAAAGCAAGCTGTGGTGGTTATTGTATGTAGGACTTAGTATGTGAGTGAGGGAGCGATTTATTTTGAAATGGTCTTCTCTATGATGGTGGGGACTGTGCAATGTTCTTAGGGAACACAATTATCAAAAACTTGTGACCTTGAGGTAGTTGTGCAAAGTCCTTGTACTTAAACCAGGCATTCCTGATGATTTGGTCTGAAATACCTGGTTGTGGTTTTTGGAGTCAAGATGGGGAAGTGGAGACATTAGCATGTGTGACCTCACTGCTGGTGGAGTTGCCCTCTGAATGAATCTTCTCTGACTTCAGCATTTTGGAAACACCAACTGATGACATACTTTCTCCCCTCGTTTTCCTTTATTTCTTAAGCTTTTTTTTTTTGCATCTCTCTTGCAACGCATTTATATATTAAGAGCAGAATTATCTTTGTTTGAACATGTCATTTATTGCTGATGTGTAACCAACATCAGTCATAACGTTTCATATCCAGGCATCCATGATCTCAGAGTGTAAAAACTGCTTAATTGATTATTAATCAACAATAAAAGTTGATTCATTTGTAAAATAGAAATGCCTAACGCTTTTGGTTTCAGTTTTTCTGAAGTGCGCTCCAATGATAATAATCCACTGTGGTGATAGTTGTGTAAGATTTCCAAGAGGAGGCTTGATTCAGTTTTCTAAGAAACACATTTTTCCCAAGAAACAGTTACATCAGTTATTTCCTTTCTGTGAATGAAGCTAAAAACAATACACACACCCTTCTGTGTGTGTGAGGCAGGAATTGTGAGTCAGATGTGGGGGTTGTAAGCTTTTTGCTGCAAGGATGCTGTTAAATGAAACTGGAGTGTGTTGTAATGGCCCAGTGAAACTTCCTGTCATTTTAAGGTGCATAGGCACAATTTGATGTGTTTTATTTCAAGCGGTGGGCCATTATAATTGACTATATGCCAGTTTTAACCCTTTTTTTTTTTAACTAAATGCTTATAGAAAGTCTTAATGGACATTTAAGACTCATACATTTACATATTTATTTTCGAAAATTCCAACCATGCTTAAAACCATCTGTATGTTTTTGATTTACAGGTTTTAAACGGGGAGCAGATCCAGGAATGCCTGAACCCAATGTCTTAAGGTGAGGACATATTAGTGTGAGATTGTTGCTTCATCTCAAATCATGTGTTTTCAGAGAAATGTGATGCTTTAAAGGGAGATCTTACAGCGCAGACATATTTGCGTAAGTAGAGTAGTTGGGCTAGCTGTCAAATAAGTTTTGAATTTTAATAATGAATACAAATAATGATGTTAGGACAGAAAAAAACACCAAGAATCATGAAATCCAATCATTAGCTTGTTGTAAACAAACTCTACATTTCCTTCTCTTTTATGAACAAACTTTCCTCGCCTAAACACTTCGAGCATTTGACACCTGTAACGGGATTCCTGGGTATCCTTAATAAGGTTTAAAAGGATCCATGGATTAAAAAGACATGTCTAATGTTACAATCAATATTTTTGGACAACTAGCTCTCGGAAGTTGTTGTTTTTTCTTCAATTGTTGTCCTTTTTTAAATCTGCTTGATCTTTTACTTTTCTCCTCTGTAGTTTGCTTTGGGGCTGAGGAACGCCCCCGAACAGCCAATCCCCTCCCATCATCAAGACCATGTGACCCAACTGTCATCAGAAAGCCAGGAAATGGACATTTTCTTTCTTTCCCTCTCTATAAATCTGGCTGTACAACCTTCTGAGAAGTAATGACGTTGTGTGCCGTCATAATGTCCAAGGCCAAACATACAGTAGATGTATGGAGTGTGTTGGCAACATGGATAGAAGAGATTCGGATTACCAAGCTGGAATCAAGAGTTCGTCCTCACAGTGTTGACTGGGCTATCTGTCGGTGTTTTGCTGTGTGAGACAGCAATGTCAGGATGTACCTTTCATTCCATGTTTTCCTCTTTTTATTTGTAATTTAAGATTTCTGAGAATAAATCCACTAAGAAATGTCAATCTGGTCTTTTATTAACAGGATTAATGTTGATGCCTAACCTTAAGGCAAAGACCAATACTAAGTATTTTAGCGTTAAAACAAATCAGTTTTTCGAGTTAAAAGTCATATTTTCAGCCTCCAAATGAAACGTAGATTGATCTAAATCTGTAAAAGAGATAAATGGTTTGTGGAAGAAATGTGTTGCAACCCTTCAATGACATGAAATGTGTAAAGTCTTGGACTGAAGAAACTTACTTATCGAAACATTTTTATTTATTTATTTTTTATTTCTGCATGTGTACAAAATACCAGTCACTTATTTATTGTGTGAATTCAAAAAAGTCAGCTCATTGCATTGTAATTCAATCCACAGCAAATGCAGTTAAATAATAGTTGTAAATAAATAATGAACAGTACTGTAAGTATAAAATCATTGTTTATATAACGAAATGATGCCAATATTGCCTGAATAGCAGTGCTATCAATGCTGCTCAAGTAATGTCAAAATCTATAATCTTATAAGAATCTTCTTCAAATAACTTATTTTCATAAATAATTTTAGTGCAAGAAACCTACAATCATGGATTTTCCTATGACTAATAAATAACACTTTCCCTCAAAGTATAAATAACTTAAATAAATGTTGCAATACTGGGCGCTTCAAGCCCTGTCTCCTTAAAGACCTACACAATTATAGCACCCTTAATCTAACCCTGAGGATATTCCCTCTAGTGATTATAAATATCTCATCTCTCGTTGTTTCGTTATAGAATCTGGAAGATGCCCAAACTGTCGTTGGCCATAGTTCCTCTGATCTTCTCCCTCTTAGTAATGGCTCTCTTGCCCTTCAGGAGGAAGTAGTGGAGCTGGCGCAGGATGTTGTGTGCAGTCATCTTTCTCTGGAAGGTGTTGGGGTTGTCGAGTTCATTCAGCAGCTGCACTTCCTGACTGCTGGTCAGAGCCGTCACCTGACCAGGCTTCCTCATCTGTGGGGCAGAAGAGACAGCTGTATTATAACTGAAATCTAGGATGAAGTCAAAGCCATTCCTATCATTAAACATTTAAACATTAGACATTTACAAAACAAAGATAAAACAAGGACTTATCATTTCTAATAAATTAGCTTTAACCAGTGTCAAAATATATATTAATACAGTTACTCATCTACTGAGCTTAAGTTTTGAGGTACTTGGGTATTTACATGTGTTACTTTACTTAAACATGCATTTGTCAGCTATAGTTGCTATTTACTTTGCACACACACACACACCCTCTAGTTTTAATAATACAAATTGGCAACTTGTTAATAACCAAACAGTATGCAAACATGAATGCATCTGTAATAATGATAATGCAAAATTATTTTAAAACGTTTTAACCTAGGAGTCCTACTACTAAATATGTCTAAACTGTTATTGTCTATACAGCAACAATGATGAAAGACTTAGCCATATGCAAAACCACATGAAGACAAAGCCAAAAGACAACACTGTGCATTGAGACAGCTATGGACATTTCTAGTAAGCCAAAAGGAAGACACCCACTTTTCTTTGGATCAGGTCGATCAGTTGGCCGCTGTAAGTTCGGACCTCTGCGCAGATCAAGCTGTTGGGGTACTCCTTCTCCACTTGCCTGAGAAGAACTGTGTAAATCTGCAGGCCTTGGACCATCCTTTGGAGACAAGCCTCCTTAAGAGAGGAAAATAAAATCACTGTCAGTGCTCACCCAGTTTTCTTTCCTCAGTGTCACAATATGCCAAGGGAGGAGATGTACCTTGGTGAAGTTGGAGTAAGGGCAGCGTGCTGGAAGTGAGGAGACTTTGTAGTCTTCCAGAAATTCGTATTTCACCTGATTGTGGAATTCATCTTCAAACTGACAAAGTGGAAAGGAATACAGGTTGTGATCAGAAAGTGAGACCAGACTAACATTAAAACATGCTGTAAAGTAGATTTACTCAAGTACTGTACTTACGTATAATTTTGAGGTACTTTACATGAGTATTTCAATTTTTTTGCTACATTGTGCTTATACCCCACTATAATTCTGAGGTAAATCGTGTACTTTTACTCAATTTTTACCTTAAGTTACTTTACAGATTTTGATTAATGATGTGATATATAATCAATACTTAAATTAGACTTAAATTACACCTGTAGTAAATTCACAAGCTACCCTGCAACATACAAAGTAATTAAAATAATTATAATCAAAATATATATTATTCTGAAATGGACCAATCTGCATAATAAGTGCTTTTACTTTATGTAGGCCTACTTTAAGTATATTTTGATTCCAATACTTTTCTACTTCTTCTTGAGTTACATTTTGAATGCAGGATGAAACTTGATGAAGTGAGTCTCACAGACAATAGCACATCTTAGTGAATTTCCTGGAAGCTTTTTACCTCCTTTTGGTGACGTCTGGTTGCACCAAGGATCAGATCCCAGACCCCGGAGGTGCTCAAGAGGTCAGAGGGCTCCTCCTCCTCCTCACCGGAGGGGTCACCGGCCGCCGGGCTGTCGGTGGGAGCGTCTTCCACCGGAGCTCCGAGGGCGCACAGCAGCAGGGCGCACAGCATCACCGCAGAGAGCCAGAACGCGTCTGCGGAGAATACATCGAAATGAATAAAAGGAGAAAATACGCAGAAACTGTGCGCACCACACAGGCTGCTCACAACTTACTGAGTGGAGGAGACATGTTGAGCTGCCGGGAAGCACTTGTTGAGTTTCCACTGATGCTGAGGGCTGCCAGGTCCAGGAGAAGTTGTCTTGGCTTTGCGATGGGCTGTCATTTTATATTCTGCTTGAGGGATTTCCCAATAATCATGCATCAGGCACGGAATTAATAGTTTGCGTCAAGCATCCGGTCTGGCATCAGTCCGTGGTTGATGGTGAATTTGGTGAAGATGGTCCACATGGAAGTGACCAGCGGGAGCAGGAATTTAAAGAAGGTACACAAGCTGCTTTAACCTTTTCGTGCTACTTAAGGGTAAAAGATAAACTGTATTGTTATTTTTCAAATAACAGTAAAGCACTTTTCAAACACACAATCGTTGTTGACGAGCATAACAATCCCTATGACACATAATTCAAAGGGAAAATCCACTTAAAACCATGCATTTGCATAGCAGTATTCCCAAAGAAATGTTGGTGGTGAATTCAAAATAAAATAAATACCCAGTGACGAGTAGTCCATTTTTCTGTGGATTTTTTGTTTTAATAACCCAGATATAAACTGCCTATATCTATTTACACACCTTTTTCTCCCCTTGAATGATGTTATGATAATTTTTATGATGTCACAATACTTCCTGAAATTATCACTATCTCTCCCCAGTCTTGAGCCTGCATTGAATTTGTCACCATTTACAAGTTTAATATAGGTGCACATGTTGTGTCTCGTGTAATCAGCGGTTTTCTAATTGTTTCTTCACTATTATGTTCCTGTTTCAATATTAGTCATGATACTCGATTTTTCCATTCATGAGTTGGTTGATAACTCACACATTCTTCTTGTTATCACTTAAAACAGAAGGAAAGGGAAGAAGTTCATCATGTGTTTTCACAAGTGTATTCCTTTCTTTCAAATAAGAATGACTTGCTAACTGTTTTCCATTAAATTCATCATTGCAACATGTTAGATAATAAGTGCTTTGCTCCACAGTGAGACGTTTTGTAATCAGAATATTCAATTTACTATAAATCCCCAAACCTACTATTTTTGACATGTAACTTCCCCTCTGTCTATTGGATTACTCAAGGGAAACTGGAGAATTCACAAATTCAATTAAAGATAGCAATGCAAACTAAGAGATGTTGTATCTGTATGTTGTAAGAGCGGGTTTGTGTCCAGTTTTGATCAAGACGTGGTTTGGGACTTTCAGTGGACAGTTTGAGACTTCAGAATAGCTCAGTGGTTGCAGAGTTTGAGGTTATTGGGAAGTGCCTATGCTGCACATTGTCAAAACTCACTTTCACTTTGCTCTCTGGTATTACAAGCTCTTAATTCATACATATAGTATATACCAATTCTAAACCTTTAATACACTGAGGCTCATTCATGAATTTAATGTGTTTGTGATTATTGGGCTCAGTTTTGCTGTTTGTGTAGACATTTTAGTGAGCTGGATGACTCTCATTTCTGCTTTTGTTGGGACCAAATGATGGTCAAAGGGCAAAATACCAAGACATGCAAAGACACTCCTTTTATTACATTTCTTGATTTACTGTGTTTTCTATAAATAATGTACTATCTACATGCAAATATACATACATAAATACATACATAGTTGATACAAACACTTTGTCCCTTTTAATTAGATCATCATTGAAATCAACTTTTTTACTCTGTTATTGTTCATTATTGCAAATTCTATGTGCATGGCGAAAGGATGTGTGTGTGTGTGTGTGTGTGTGTGTGTGTGTGTGTGTGTGTGTGTGTGTGTGTGTGTGTGTGTGTGTGTGTGTGTGTGTGTGTGTGTGTGTGTGTGTGTGTGTGTGTGTGTAGTAAGTTTCAGGTTGGCACTAGTTTTCTGCTTTGTTACATTATGATTTACTGCATGTTTTTTCTCAGAGTGGATCCCTCACAGAACAAAAGAGTTGAAAAGTTGAAACATCTGCTTTTTTAAAGATGATTCAAACAACAACAAAAAAGGTATAAATAATGACCTTTGTTCAGCATCATCATGAACGGTCATGGTCAAAGGGCAAAAAGCCAAGACATGCAGAGATACTCCTTTTATTACATTAGAAACCTTAGACATCATAGCTCAAATATCAATGAACTTCTTAACTGGCTTCAATGCAGAAAATGTGATGCTCTTCTGAAAAATCTATGACTAGATTCCACCGGGTCCGTCTGCGCCGCGGCGTTCACAGCGATCGCGGCCACTCTAGTCAACAGCCGCGTTCACACCGGAGTACTTTTCCCCGTACTTTTCCCCTTTAGTTCCGTTAGTACCCCTTATGTTGCGTTCACACCAAAAACAGTACTTAGTGCCGGGAACTTTTACCCCCATTTTTAGTGCCTGCTGAGAGGTGGTACTATCCTGGGGGGAAAAAGTGCCCCAGTTCTGATTGGCTGGGCGAATTGCAAACCACGGGCCGTAAAACTCTGAAAGGTTTTGTGAAGCCGCCATTGTATTTGTGGCATTAGCATTATTAGCATTAGCATTAGCCCCGCGCACCAACGGACAGAGACTAACTTATGGCAACCCAAAAAAAAACATGGGAGCGGTGGAGTGATGAGGAGGTGTCGGTGTTCTGGCGATTTACTCGGAAGGCTTCAGTAGAAGCTGCTGGGAGTCCCAGCAGCTTCTACTGAAGCCAGTCCCCAACTCCGGGGACTTCCGGCCGGGGACTTCGGGCGGCAGTATACGCCGTGAAGTTGTTTGCAGCCTGCCAGTAAACCCAAAGCAGAAGAAGACGAAGTGACGTCAGCGGCTCATTTGCGTAATCTTCCCTCAGGGAAAAGTACTCCGGTGTGAACGCGATCTGTACTTAGTGCCCTGGGGTAATAAGTGCCGGGGCACTAAGTACTGCAAAGTACGCGGTGTGAATGCGGCTAATGGGTGCTATTCCACCAGACGCGCCGCGTTACGGCTAGAAGCGTCCCAGAGGCGTCCCAGATGCGTCTCGGCGCTGGGCTCCGCTAAAAATAGTTTGCAAGTCTATTTTCGACGCGACGCGAGGCGTTGCATAGCGCCGGGCAGGAAGTGGACCGGTCAGAGCATCCAGTCAATCCCCAAAATAATTTTGCAGACCCTATCCCTCCGTTGTCTTTCAAGTACTGTAGGAGGAGAAATGCCAGCGTTCTCCTCCGGTTTACAGGCACTGTGTAAATGATATAGAATAATTATGATGATGAATGCATTTTTTTACCACTAAAATACAGCAACACATCTTTGATTCATGTCATTTATAACTGGAATATTACAATTATTATTTACTTTGTCTGCACAAAGTAGCCTGTCCAGGAAATATGCCCAAACTACATGTTTCTGTTTATCTGTGTTTTGTGTTGTGCCTGACCTAAGATTTTCATCAGCATAACTACACTGTAGCTATATTCGTATGACTAAATAAAGAACCTTGAAACTTGAACCTCATTATTTCTGATGCAGTTTTGCTCTATGCAGTTCTATTAACCCTTCGATTATATACAGTTCAGTAGTCATGGTATGTCATGGTATGTGTCCTTGTCAAATGATCCTTCCAAAAAATATTTACAAAATACATTATCATATAGAAGGAAGTTGGCAGTATTTTCACACAATGAAAGAACTGAAACATTGTCAACACATTTCACATAACTGTATTAGGTTATGTAAAAGTAAAATAATTAAGTGTTGATAAATAATATTAGCTTTAACTTAATATTTTTGCTTTCAACTTACCTAATACAGTTATGTGAAATCTGTTGACATAATACATATAATTAAAGTACACTTTTCAGTTTTTTCAGTGCAGTAAATTCAAGCATTTCAATTAATATCATGCTATTGCAGAGTAGGCTACATTTCTTCAAGGATTTATAAATTTAAAAATTCTGTTTTTGGCTAATGCAGTGACCCTGGCTAATCTACTGTAGGTCCACATTAATGATCGAAACCTCTGACATTTCAGTGTTACTATAAAGCAGTTTACTATAAAGCAGTTTAGCCAATTGATTTGCGACATTGGCTCCAATGGCCAAATACTACCCTTTACCTTTTTAAGATCCCCATATTCATTGCACTAAACCGTGCAGTTCACCATGGTCACTGCTAGATGGCACTCACGCAGCATATATGATGAGAGGAATCGTTCAGTTTGGAGAGAACTGTTCTGTGCTTTTCCCACGCAGTACACCAATAATATATGACCCGCATATTGAACAGAAATAGCTTGAGGGCGTCTGTGCACATGGCAGTGTGTGTTTGACTGCATACATACATACTCTAACATGTGCATGTGCGTCAGACTCATTATGCTACTGTGGAGTGTGTGAAGTATTTATTATCTAATGGCTTTTTAATTGTCTCAGCAGGAAGGGATCGCCTTGAAGTCCATTAAAAGTTTCTTCTTTGTTTGGATGCAAAACTGTTTATCTCATCCCCCCCATGCTGGTTCATAATGTTTGGCTTCATAGACTAACATGCTTATATCAATGTTTTGCAGGCATAAACTGACCCTATATGAGTTAAACAAGACTAAGCGTCTCATGCTTGCTGGACTTTAAGGCATATCCTACTGTACATAGGCACAATGCTAACATGATGTTTACAGGGTCTTCACCATTTTAGTTTAGTAAGCATTATAACATTTGATAATCAAACACATCGTTTTTAAGTATTGAACACACTGAAATGTTGACTTGATGATGAAGCTAGAGGAAAAATCAGGGGGTTACTCATTATAACTCATCCTCTGGTCTAGCTGAGATGGCTGGAAAAGTATTTTTTGTTGCATCTAAAGGGCGATGCAGTTACTGAAACACGCACAGTGCTTTTTCATGGTGTGAGCTTTGCTTCTGTTCTTTTATACTTGACCTTATATGTCATATTGTGTCATAGTTTCTTGTTCATTTTAGCACGGCAGTCCTCTTCTCACATTTTGTTTTAATTCAAATTCTGTCCTCTTCTTCTTGTCTGCTTTCAGTTTCTCCTTTCCTGTCTTCGGCTGGATTCTCACCCATCACTCTCTCCACTCCTCTCCATCCTCTCCTTCCCTTTGTGCCTTTTTTCT